GGTGATTTGCACTGCATGGGTCTGTTTGTTTTTGTTTTTTAAATGTATATGTTTTTACACCGCCATCAACACAATTTAGATTATTTAGGAGGCGGGCTTCCGGCCCTGTCTGTCAGGACCAGTTCGAACTGAGAGGGGTACATGTACAACATCCCAGCAGAAAGACCGACATACTCGATAAAAATGTTGCCCTTAATCGGGAATGGAACTCGGGTCTCCTGCGGGCGACAGCAAAGCGCCCAACTGCTGCACCACAGATGCCAGCCATAGGCCTTTGAATATATGAATTTAGATTTAATATGTGTTGAAATGAGAGAGAGTGCAACAAATGGAAACTGGTGAATGCCAGATTCTTTTAAATAAACGTTCAGATTATCTTCTTAAATTATATCGTCGAAGACAACAGGAGTTTATTTATCTGAGCGTTGTATGTCCTGAAAAAGTAACGCATGTGGCTAATGAAAATGCCGGTAGCAGTGAAACGAATCTAGACAACTATGTATGCTTGCTGCATGTTTGAGTCTCGGAGTGTTTATGTATTTTTACCGTACATATTATGTCTTTGAGAAAAAGTATGTGAGACATGGATAAGTGAAATAAGTGTGTGTGTGTGTGTGTGTGTGCGCATGTGTGTGCATGTGTGTGTGTGTGTGTGTGTGTGTGTGTGTGTGTGTGTGTGTGTGATATGTGTATGAGTACTGAGTACGTACCACAGCCTGTCGAAGAAAGGCTTCACCAACCAAGCGGTTACGCAAAACGTGAGGGTGCTTACATTTGTACAACATGTCGAGAGACCACATAAAATATTAATTTGTTTTAAATGTTTGGCCTTCTTGACTAGTGTGCAGTTCACAAAGGAGTACATTCTATATCATTTTAAAGGGAGTGCTTATTTAGGCCACATATGGCCTAAATAAGGTAAGGGAGGGGGTTTAGCTTATTTAGGCCACACATGCTCAAACTACCCTTTTCAGGCAACTGAGTTCGTTCCACTTTCATAATGGTGCACCTTTCTCATTTAGTACGGTTTTGTCTCAGTGTACAACTTATAAATCATAACCATAATGAATATTGTAAAGAACAAAGCACAATACGCAAAATTTTGCTCAATCCCAATGGTTTGAATGAGGGCCAGATTTTTCCTTCATGGAGGGGCAAAAGCTAGGCTACCATTTTGGCACACTTTGGTCAAGTGAAAAGGTCAAATCCTCCGAATGGACTTCCGGGTTAAATTTGGGGTATAAAAAGAGTGTACACTACGTGGCTGAGTCAAAGTTACACTATCTTTGCCTGAGTGACACTCTCTCGTACTGTCTCGTAGTAGTACATGTAGGCTAGTAGGCCTAGTAGTAGTAGTAGCAAAGATCGTGTAGAGAATATTTGGTAGTAGATTCTATCTAGTAGGCAGTTTAGTGAACGTGCTCAGGGCGAATCGGCCTCGATAAGCCCCGTAGACTTTTGTGATCGGCCACGAAGCCTCGTGTTTTTATGGGTCTAGATCTAAACAACTCAGTGTTATTCGCACTGCCACACCCGACAGGCCTAGATCTACATCTTTTTAAAAGGAAAAGAAAGATCATCAAAATGGTTGAATTCGCGTGAAAATCGATTCGGTAGAACTAGAACTATTAAAATTTGCTTCTGAAAACAAGGCAATTTTTATACGAAGGCCATTTTTATAACTCGATGAAATAAAAACTACTGGCTGTGTACTGTGTTATTATGTATAAAAATAAATTATGAAACTTCAGGACGTATTATTATTTTCCAGCATCTTTTGACGCCTGAGCTGTAGAGGTTGAAGTTTTCACAACACTAATAGATCTAGTAAGAGGGTTAGGTAATAGGGCTTTCCGTAAAAAATGCATAGATCTACAAAAGCCGAACCACCGAATCAACCGGGCATCTCGCTCTCCCCTGCACACTGTGATAACGTGTTGCTGCGGTATCGCATTATTCAACTATTAATACGTGCGGCTATGGCAATTGGGATGTACTGACTGAAAAAAATTCAGTTTTGTTTTTATTTTACCATATATATATTTGACTTTAATAGTGCAGGCGATAGCAAGATCTAGATTCCCTGTCTAGAATCAGTAGTAGCAGGCCTATGCTAGAAGCAGCCAGAGAGCCTACAACTGCTAGATCTAAATCTAACTTATCATTGCTATGCCTTTGGGCTTTGGAATTGAAATAAAACGAATTGCACAGTTCTAGTTACTTTTAGATTCAGCAAGTAACTGTATTTCCAGAGTCAATAATAACAAATCTCAGCATAACAATCACTTTTACTTGTATTAGAATAATTAGATCCAACTTTTTTTCTAAAATCTGTTTTGCGCAAACTTAATATTTTCTCTACTTGTAGAGCACAGAATTTACATTGTAAGCCTCTGCTCAGTCTTTTAGTATATGTAATAAAATACACACACACAAGCACACACACACACACACACACACACACACACACATATATATATATATATATATACACACACATGCACACACACACACACACACATATATATATATAGAGAGAGAGAGAGAGAGATCTATATAATCATTTTATGTTGATTTCGGGATATTTTTAAAACTCTTTTTTTCAACATGTCATAAAATCAAATTGTGCCATTTTCTTTGAAAAGAATAGCATTAGCAGTGGACTTTTTAGACAGCGAGTCTCTGATTCAATATTTAAAAAAAAATATGCTAATCAATGAAAATTGCAAATTGATAATAGTTTAGTCCTGTAGAGGATAGGTGGACTCTGGGGTCTGCAGAGTGAAATACTAGGTTTTAGGATGTGAACCCCGGAGTCACCATAGTGAAATAAGGTTTGGTTTAAGTAAGGATTGGTGGACCCCGGGGTCAACGTAGTGATAAATAAGCAGGTTTAAGGTGGACCCCGGGGTCTACCTAGCGAAATACTAGGTTTTAGGACAGGTGGACCCCGGGGTCACCGTAGTGAAACAAGTAGGTTTCTTTAAAGATTGGTGGACCCCGGGGTCAGCGTAGTGAAATAAGTAAGGTTAATTTTAAAAGGATTGGTGACCCCGGAGTCACCATAGCCGTAGAGGAATAAGAAGGTTTAATTAAGGATTGGTGGACCCCCGGGACACCTTGATTAAACCTACTTATTTTACTACGGTGACCGCAGGTTCCACCTATTCTAAAAACCTAACTAGTATTTCGTTAGGTAGACCCTGGGGTCCACCTTAAACCTACTTATTTCAATACGTTGACTCCAGGGTCCACCAATCCTTAAAATTAAACCTAGATCTACATGTACTTATTTCACTACATTGACCCCAGGGTCCACCAATCCTTAATTAAACCTAGATCTACTGATTTCACTACGTTGACCCCGGGGTCCACCAATCCTTAATTAAACCTATATCTACTTATAATTTCGCTACGTTGACCACGGGCTCCACCAGTCCTACTATAAAATAAACTGAGATCTACTTATTTCACTATGTTGACCCCGGGGTCCACCGATCCTTAGTTAAACCTAGATCTACTACTTATTTCACTACGCTGACTCCGGGGTTCACATCTTAAAACCTAGCATTTTGTTAGGTAGACCCCGGGGTCCACCTATCCTTTTGGCTAGATAGACCCCGTAGTCCGCCTATCCACTTTTTTTTATAACAACTGAAAACAATACATGCCAGTTGTCATGAATAGTGAAGAAAAATGCGGGGGGAAAAAGACAATGAGGTAGACTATAATTTGTCAAAAAAATTGCAAGTGCAAGTGAAGATCATAAAATAATTTTGTTATTTTCTGGTCATCTTTCCCGGTTTATAAAAAAATTCCAGTAAGCCTACTACTAGATCTATGTATCTGAAGAACATTTTGCTTGCCTTTATTATTAGCTTTTTTCATGTACATGAAAGCATAGAACATATAGTTTCACACATATATATGCACAATACTTTGAAAAAGAAAGATAAGGTCATTGTTGTTTTGTTTTTTTACGCAATCCGTTTTACGTTGAGAAAAGCGGTAAAAACAAGTTTAAAAATTTTAAGAATCCCCATAATATTAGTATTAGGAATCCGAAATTACTACCTAGTTGGCTTACTCTTTAATAACCATGAGCAGTTAAGAAAAAAAAAGACAATGATATAGGATTTGTCTAAATATGACCATTAGCAATAAAGATGTTGCCCATTTTGTCCAATTATCCTTGCAGGTAAAATCACCCTGCACTGTACCTCAATAAGCACAAAAGGAATATTTCTGTGACTTTGTATAAAGGTGTGGCCTAAATAAGGTAAGGAAGGGGGGTTTAGCGTATTTAGGCCACAGGTGAGGCCTAAATAAGGTAAGGGAGGGGGGGTTAGCTTATTTAGGCCACCTGTGGCCTAAATAAGGTAAGGGAGGGGGGGTTTAGCTTATTTAGGCCATATGTGGCCTAAATAAGGTCACCCCATTTTAAAGGGCATTTTATGTTTCAGGTAGTCATCTTAAACGAATTTGTATCAGGCTACTGCTTCATCCATCTGTTCAGCCACAGAACATTACTTGTATTATTTAATTTTATTGGATAATCCGTATTCTTTTTAATAATGACAAAATTTGTTATTAATTTTGCATAACTGAGATCTTGCGTTGATGTGTGTAGAGCTTGGTAAGATTGCTCATGTACTTAATCAACGGAGTTTTGTTAAATTGGGTGCTGCAGTCATTGGCCATTGGCGTATTTAATGAAGAGTTACGTTATTATGTGCTTAGTACATATACACCATAATCTCAAACTGTTGTATGACTTTCGACCTGGAGTTGTCGAATTAGACCAAGTAGCGGTCCAAGAACGCCATTTGAGACTAATCATGTTTAACTCACACCCCCCCCCCTTCCCCCCCGTCTGGTCGCGAGTTTCGCTGAGAGCATATTTGAGAATGACTGCTCCATAAGGAGGCATATTACGCAGCAAAATCAGATTTCCAACTGATTATAACTGTTGCTATTGCGATGTCTCTCTCTCTTTTCAGAAGTACAAAGGCCTGGCTTCTGACATGGAAGCCATGTAACTCGGCGCTTTCACGACCACGTGAGAGCCATGAACGAAAGTTTAGAGTACCACTATGAAAAATCTCAGCACCAAGACCAATAAAAAGTATGTCAGGCTTTTTTTCCCCAATTTTTATATTGACTGTAATGAATCGTTTTATTTACCCCCCCCCCCCCCCCCCCCCCCCCACACACACACACACAGAGGAAATTTTTTTAAACAAAATGCTCATTATTTAAAAAGAGCATATTGCTTTTATCTTGCCTATCATAGCTAACTCGGTCTACGTGGGGTACAGTGCGATCCCTGGAGAAAGAGGGGAAAGAGGAGAAAACGAGGATAGAAAAGATGCTGTCAGCGAGCTGCCACTGGAGAAGAGAAATCTAGATCAGCCCCATAAGACGAAAAAGAGACGTACATAGTACATGTGCGTCTCTCTTTACTTTTTCTGTCTTCTTATATCGCATGGTGCTGAGAGGAGATGCAATTATTATTGAACGTGGGTCAGGTGTGTTGCCTTTTGAATCGTAATGTTGTACATTTTAAAAAATACGTACCTTTGCATCGGGACTCTGTCCTCTGTCGATACATCTTTTTCTTGATGTTCCTCTACCAACACTCAAAGAAACACCAGAAGACGCAATAGACAGAAGAACATGGTTTTTTTTCAATTTCAACACACTTCAACAGGCACGTCCTCGCCTCATTAGCAACTCACACCACCATCAGATGATGACTTAAATTATATTCCAATAATAATATAGCACGAACACTATCGTCATAGAACAGGGTCTTCTACTTTCTCTCTTTAACTCACGAATCAAGGTGTCCCCAGCCAGATAAATACACTGTATCTAGCACAATGACACCAGGGTCAGACACACTGGGAACAAGCTACTAATGTTGGGGGCTCTCGTGGCCTAGAGGTTAAGGTGTTGGCCTCTCATTCAAAAGGTCCCGGGTTCGAATCCGGGTAGCAACCGAAAAAATTTTTCTCTCTAAAATTGTCTCCTTTCACCTCCTTTCCTGCTCTCTAGCAATATTCTGTCGTCTGCTTTCGTCTCCTCTTTCTGCCCCCACCCCTCACCTCCCTTGCCCCCTCCTCTGGGCTCCTGACTCTTTCTGCAGCCTTTCAACTGTTACTCCTTGACTCCTTACAGCTGTCTTTCTACCACACCCTTGATCTTCTGGTAGGAAAGATCTACACCTAGCCTTCTCGGACAAGGGCGAAAAATCTCGGAGGGCCCGTGTGCAAGTTGCGCACGTTAAAGATCCCTTGGTGGTCTTAAATCGATAAGAGTAGGCTTCGGCCGCCACCCGGGCAAAATTCAAAATTTCCTACCAACGAAAAAGTATTAGGTGTGTCCCGCGCGCTCATATGACCTTATGCAGTTGCGAGCGCAGTAAAACCCTATACTAAACAAACAAACTAACTAATGGTGCATCTGGAAAATTTCAGCTGTAGGCTATAATAACACCCTCCCCCCTTTCAATTAAACTAAATGAATAATTGAGCAGGTCTATATACCCCCCCCCCCCCCTAACAAAGTCGGGCTTTAGAATTAATTACAATTTAACAGAAGTAGAAGAGTCTGGCCTTCTTCATGAAATTCAAGACTCGTAAGACAACAACGCTAGGAGTCCACATGCGTCGATGCTTGGTGGTGGTGGGGGGGGGGGGGGATTAGGGAGGAAGCAGCAGCAAATAATAAACATCTTTGAATCCTTACTCGGGAACGTAACGCAGCTAATGTTCGTTCATCTCTTTCCTTCAAGGGAATGGATAATAATACGTGGGGCAACTATAATATCAAAGCTTCCTGAAAACAACAGAATCACATTTCGTTGAAGAGACATTCGATCTTTACTACACCATCACTACACTATTACTCACAAGTGCATTTTTTTGCGTTGTCAGTTCAGTCCTCTGGGCATTCCTCTTGAATAAATTTGCATTTTCCAATAGGCTACAAAGTTAAAGAGGAGGCGATCCCCTTCTTCACAGATTTCTCATCCAGGGTATGAATATTACGTTCATTTCTACACAATGTAGCTTACCTCCGATTATCATCACAGACAAGTCCTTTGAAAAGCCATTGACAAATGAACACAAAATGACTTATTTATGTCAATGTCAATCTATATGTAGAATTTTTAGAAGACTAAACAAATAGCTGATAAAGATACACATTAGCCTGAGAGATTGGGACATATGAGTTCAATGAGTAGGTCATTATAATTTTTGCAAGAATATGGAAATAAAATAAAATAACACAAAACACAGCATTATATTATGCAACCATCTATTAAAACAAATACATCATATATATGTGTAAAATATAAAATGGATATCATTAATAATATATAAGAAATAATCTTGGGTCAATGGACGGATTTAGTTGACAACATCCAGGAAGCCATTATTTTACAAAAAAATCATTGAATTATATTTCATTCATAGATCATATAGTTTCAATTTTATGTCAAATCAAACATCAGACTATCCAGTAATTAAAATAAATAATTTTTCTACTCATACTGACAAAAATATATAGTCATTATTAATATTCAAACACATCTTTCATCATCTGAAGCATAGTGCAAAACTCGACAGTAAGTTAATATGAGTAATTTAAATTAGCATTAGACATGAACTGAACCTCTATACCACTAGCTCTAGAGACAATTCTTTCTGGACAAATCAACTGAATCACTTTGACAGCATTGTGAGTTGCATTTAAACATCATGTCATACTATAAGTCACAAAGTCAAAGTACCTCTATTGTCTATTTCTCCTATCAGAAACCAAAGTTACAGACTCCTGTGTGTATTTGGTTATTGCTCAGGTTTAATGCCCCTTTCAATACTGTGAAGCGGGACATCTAAATTAAACGTCTAGCTCCGGTGGGACTGAGCCAATGGGTGGAGAGCCTTAAAAACTCCCCAAAACAACCCAAGTTCAGAACACCCTGCTGGGGATTTGAACCAGGGTCATCTGCTCCATAGTCCAGAATGATACCAACTGAGCTAACTGTGTGCCCAATACCAACTCAGAAGAGTTTTACATGATGATTTAGACAAAAATCTTCTCTTAATTATTCCAGGTTAAAAAAAAAATTTACTGCATGCTCAACAAAGGGCAGTTGCTGAGGAACAATTTGAACACCAATACGCACACACACATAAACCCCTCCATCCCTCCCTTGAAAAAAAAAATCTGTAACTCAGAGAAGAACAAATCAATAGTAGTTCCATCTCAGTAACACAGTCAATTTTGATCTTTTGTTAGTTGTTGAACACCTGGAGGATTGCTTTAACTAGAGCTTAACAAAACAGATAAAGTGAGACAACGGGTTTAGACCAGACTAGAGTCTTTTTCTTGATTTGCTTTCTTTTACATGTACATGTATGTGTGTATCATTACATTTTCAAGAAAAAATAAACAAACAAGCATTTCACACAAATAAGCATTTTCTTAATAAGAGAGGGGAAACGTTATAGGCCTACCTCAGCTTTCTAATGGTACACCCCCTCCCCCCATCACTTTTCCCCTCCACCTACCAGCCCATTCAAATTATTCTCAATTTTCTTGTTACAGATTTTGTGAAAACTGGCTGGTATTATCAAGCTCAAGTGATCTCAAATGGAATGATAAGCATAAATCTATAAGCAGCTGTTCAGTGGGGAAATCCCTGATTTTGCGCTCCAGACAATTCATTATCAAACACTGAGCTCGGTTTTTATAGACACCCAAAGCTTGTGTCAAAATTTAAAAGGTAACTCTTTCTACTATAACTTTTGCCTGAGCAATTCATTGTCTAAATCATATATTGCTTCTCTCTTTATTGCTAAGTTCTTCCAATTTCGAAACAATTAGAAATCTTCTTCTCATTGAGAGATTTTTTTGTGTGTGTAATTGAGAAGAAGAAACGTATTTAAAGTGAACACTAGGGAAATGTTCAAACAAATCTCAGACATTGTGTCACAGGAAATTGTGGAACAAACGAATCTACATTCCCCCAAAGCTTCCATTATATCGAAAGCAATGACACCCTTCAACTTACTGAGTGTCTATTGGAGGATATCACAGGGTCAGCTTTGAGGTGTATTTCTGGTATGCTTTTTTCAGTTGTATGTGTTACTGTTTGTTGCCAGTATTAATCAAAGAATTCATGGGTGTACTTGCTTTGTCCAAGTAAAAGCTATATATATTGACAGGAAAATTATGACTGGCCATAGGGTTGCTCTTTTTAGAGAGTCATAGGTCAGAAATGTGAGATATGGAGGGATTAGTTGATCAAAAAGAGAAAGAAACACTTTGTATGCAATTAACTCTGCATTGGCTGTTCATTTAAAAATGAAATTTCATAAACAAAAAATCTAAAGCAAAAAAAACAGCAAAATAAATCAAATATAACTAAAAATAAAGTAGGCCTATAAAGGATTCAATTTCAAATAACCAAAGATCATCATCAACGCCCTCCTCCTTTTCCCCTTTAAATATATATATATGTAAACTGCACAGGAGTTTAAAAATTACATCATTACTATGCACAAACATGACCATACATCTAAGCTGCCTTTGGGGAAAAAAATGATCACAACTGTGCTTATGCATTTGTTATGATAACAAACCTAAAGTGAAACTTTTTATTTTGTTTCCATGAAAAATAATACACCTTAAGAACAGCCTTTAAGTTCACCTTAAAGGCAGGGACAAGGCTAAACACTGGTTATAAACCCTGACTGGAAAGACAATTTCCTTGTGGACTCTAGCTTCTTCATTTTGTCTTTTGATATATAAAAGAGCAGTCACCATACACCAAAAAGAAAAGTCCAGTCTACCACACTTCTAACACAACAACACCGCCGTATATGTACAAACAGTTCAGACAATGATACACACAATGAAAATGCAAATATGCTGGCTCGGGAGAATTGTGTTCTGAGGCCAAATATTATCTCTGAATATAATCTGAAAGCAAAAGCATTCCTTAAATTTGATGAAGTCATGGAAAGTAGTAAATAATTATTATGCAATGTCCAATGTCAAGGTTTGAGCTTCGCAGTAACATATGTTTAACGTTCTGGAAATACAACATGCAACCTGGGAAGTTGAACAATTTTCTTCGCACATTTCAGGAAGACAAAACCGACCATGGATGAGATGAAATGGAATTATAAAACTAGAACAAACCATTGTCAAATTTAATATTGTTAATTAGTTATGAAAGATAGGTAATTGTAGCAAGGGTATCTTAAAAATAATCTGTATATTTAAAGTCTCTCCACCACCCAAATTATTGTTTTCTTTCTTTTTCAGCTTGTGCATTACAAGATGTTGTTAAGACATTAAAAAAAGAAAAGAAAACATGAACAACATTTAAGTAATGTTTAAAGCATAAAAATAATTTCTTCATCAGAATTTCTTGTAATTTTTCCGCTTATTTCTTTTACTACAAGGAGATAAGACATCGTATCAAAATCACAAATGGATAGGAAATAAGGACCAATCAGACAACAGCAACCTGTAACAAATCTTGCTAAAGGTTTCTAATAAAAAAAGAAAACTATGCTGACTTGGTTTTCAATACCAAAATTATGCTGCAGAGCAGAATTTCACCATGTTACGTACTGACTTAACTCTTGTTCCATAGACTTCTTGAATATGCACCAACGCAGGGCAACTCACTATGAAATGCAAAGCTGTGCATAGCACAAGCAGCTTAGTTTTGCTTCATGAACAATGATGTAATTGTCAAGAGTTGCTGTTGGGAAAGACAGATGCACAAAGCATTTGTCAGCTCTCTTCACGTGCGTAGGCCATTTCCCCAAAGGTATAAAAATCATCTTTAAAAAAAACCGACAACTGAACACTGAACATGAGATTCATGAATGGAGTTTGGAAATATAGCCATGAAAAAGGTGCAAAGAGCCTCATTTTATCATATCTTACTTATGTATATCTTTCTTCATTATTATGAGCTATAATAATGACCTTTGTTAATTTAACTGTTTAACTCTTTAGAGATGCAAATTTAAATGTTTCAAATGGGCCCTATAGGCTTACATCTCTTTATACAATTTGAAAATCGACTTCAAAAACATTATAATATCTCCTTCCACCCTAGAACTTGAATAATTTGAATTATAAAAGGGCTCACAAATTTTATGTGTGAAATTAACGTACAAATGAAAATAATAAATGAAACACAACATTTACAAATCAAGTAAAAGGAGAATTTCAACAAATTAATACTCTTGTTAACTTGCAAATAACAGTTTGTAAGTCATGGAGAATGCAGAAAACTGCTACCGATCTCATGAACAACAGCCCAAAAGTTTTCATGTAAAAATAAAAGAAATAATATACGCAAAATGCTGGTTAATTTTTATTCACACTATGGTATTTTTGAGATCACAGCAAAGTGTACTGATGTAGATATGCTAGAGCTCAAGTAAAAACAAGACATGTTATCACAGAAGATCTCATTGAACAAACAATTTATTTAGGTACTTACAAATTGAGTCACATCACAGATCATATTTTCAAAGATTAATTAACCTGGGGGGCTCATGGGCAATGGCAAGTAAAGTGGTTAGGTGTTTGCCTCTCATGCCAGTATTTGGTTCAATTTCCAGTTCATGCAGGCATGGTAAGTAGTATATTTTTTATACTCAGGTTCTTTTATAAAATTAATTATCGTTGTGTGGGAGGGATCAGGTACACAGTCTTCTTCGAAAAGAACGAAAATACTCAAAGGCACCAAGAATACACTGTCCACATAAAAGACTCCATCGCAGTTTAAAGTAGAAGAGAAATAGAATTCCTATTAATCCCTACCCAAAACTGAAGAAACCCTGGTCAGTGTAAACAAATGAAAGTACCTTTGAAAATGGCGTGCGACTGCCTGGAATGCGAGGTGCACTATGTTCTCCAATTTTCTATATTGTAGATACGTTCAGTAAGTTTAATAGTAAGAAGAACTTGCTCTATTTGAATAGAACAAAATTGTAGATAGCAATGGTATATGTTTCGATGGTATGATGTTTTTTTGGGGTCCAAATTTGATGGTACGTGAGTTCTCCTAGATTTGATAATAAATTTTCCGTCTGGTCCAACAGTACATTTACTACACAATCTGGAGTCAAAGCATAAGAGACTAAAAGTAAGCTGAAACTCCCGCTTGACTGACATTAATAGATTGAATACTCTCTTAGCACACTTGAGCAAGGATGCAGGTATACACAGCACGGCCATTTACTTTTGCTCAGATATATCTAAATGAGAACAAGTTAACAACCAGATAGCTTTCATACAAAGAGGGACCATAACTTTGATTTTAATTATTTTCTTGAACCAAAGATGATTTGTTTATACAGTATTTTACTTAGATCTAATGCTTATTTATAGAAAAGTAATATATAGTAATTCAACATTATGATTTTTATCTAGGCAATTACTGAAAATAACATAACACCAAGAGCCTAAAATATCTAATTAAATATATAAAGTAAATTACTGTTTAAAATTAAGATTCTGTCAGTTAGGCAAAATATACTCTAACACACCGAGTTCTAAGATTGGTAGACAGTTTTAGTCCTTAAAAGCCTGATGAACAGCAATATTTGAGTTTTATCACTCGGAGACAGCCAGAACGGGTGCTGCAACTGGTACGGGAGGTGGATCCTTGCCAACGGGGGCAGCAGATCTATCAACAGGTTTGCTGTCAACATTGGTTGCACAGTTGTTTATGTTAAGATCTGTGGCCTGAGCAGGACGTATGTCAATGTTGTCGAAATTTGTGTGGCAGGTGGCCTGGGGCACCCTAGGGCGGTACCAGGACAAGCAAGAAGCCACCGTTTCCCTGCGGTCTGACTTCTTCTGTTTCGCTTGCCTCTGCCTGCTTTGAGCTGACAGCATTAGGGCCTCATTGTTCATGGCATTGATCAGATCTCTGTTTGGTGAGTCTGGACCATGAACTGTGCGGTATGTGGTGGTAGGAACGCCATCAAAAGATGTTTTTGGACGTTTCACAAGCTTCTGGACATTGATCTCTTCATTTCGAAAATCTTGTCTGTAAGTGGAGGTGAGCGGCCTTCCAGCATTTCTTTTTATTTTGCCTGGAGTCCAAGCTATGAATTCTGGGTCAAAGGTAGCGGAACGCTCTGGGTGGCGCTTTTTTCCTAAACCCTTTGAAATAAAGAAAGGAAACATCATATTTTTGCAAAGGAGATAACAATGAAGGCAAAGTAAGAAAAGTGAGCAGGTTAATATTTGTCCTGAGGTTAGTGTTGATACCACGCACAGTCTCATAAAAGGCAGGAGGTTACATTCGTATTGCTGCTTAGTCACTCATGCAGTTCATGGTTACATGTGATTAAATGAAGCTTGTGAATTCACTGGTTCACATACAGGCAGGAATAGGAAGGCAAGGCAGTAAAAATAGACCATTATGTTCCCGAAATGGTAGTGTAGTAGCTTACATTACTGTTCATAAAAAAGCAGCTTGCCTCTGTGTGGTTGTACTTGTGCACTGATGTGAACAAGTTGGGGTTAAGATTATGCTAGAAGGCTTTAAGAAAAGAAGTTAATTGTCCTCTAAGCTAACACAAGTATTCAAACATTCACACATTTGCAAGAGTCTATGAATTATTATTCTACCTGGACTTTAGCAACCATTCAGCCTTAGCTAATCTTTCCCTGAAAACTTGTTATGCACACTGTTAAAATTGGGAATATGCTGGCAAACTTAGTTCTGAGCTAGAAGTCAAACCAAGAGATTGGATCATCCCAGGTCGTTAGTGTTACTTATATATGCAACAGAGTTCCCAAAAATCCATTTTCCTAAAGGTCTACAAATATTTTATTTTATTTATTTCTGACATACCCTTTATTTCTTTTTTCAAATGTCCAGACAAAACATTCCCAATTCTTGCAGGTTGCCTCACATTTCATTAAAAAGAAGACAAATCTACTACTAAGAGTAAGACTCTGCCATACACCACTATGAAATGTGACCTATGACAGAATCTTACACCGAGCAGTTGAAATATTAATTCACTATTGACATCTGCTGTGTAATGTGTTGTAAATAAAATTTAAAGTGCAGTACTTAAAACTGATATTATAAAACTGTTGTCTTCTCAAAAAACTTGTTTCAGGCCTGTACAAATGCAGAGGATAAATGTTTAGTAATGTGAATTGTAACAGACTAACAGACAGTCAAGAGGAACAGTTGTCAGACTGGTGTGGTGGTAGATAGTAAAGCAGAACAGAAACATCATGGTAGACTGCCAAGTGGACTGGGATCCAAGAACTCGTATAAATAACAAACTGTACTGTACTAATAAGTATAAAAAAGAGCACTCTGGTGAAATTTTGACCTGTATGTCTAACTGACCTGTGCAAAGTATGAGGCATCACACATGAATGAATTCCGATTATCATGGAGAGAGAACTGGTGCGCTGCTGCCGGTTGCTGAAAAAGAAGAAATAGCAACGATGTATGCATAGCCTCTGTACAGAGGAAATAATTCACAAAACAATGATCATACATAATGATACAGTTGTGGAATTGAGGGAGGAACTAGAAAATCACTTTACTTCATTTATTTTCAGAGACTGTATTCAGTTTGACACCTTTATCCTTTTTTCATTGTCTAAAATCTGACATACAAAGGACACTGTAATTCACAGAGTGGAAACAGCACTGAATAGATTTTTGTCAAAATAAAAAGACACACTTATGCAAACCGCACTGACACACATACAAACACAACACAGACCTCACTGATACAGTCAAACCTATGTAAGACGGCCACCCATTGTCAAGGAGAAAAGTGGCCGTATAACACAGGTGGTCGTCTTAGGCAGGACTGATCAAGATGAAGAAAACAAACCATTCCCATCTGAAGTCCCAATTGAAAGTAGCTGCTTTGTTGTTGTTTTTGTTGGTGGTGGTGGTGGGTGGTGGTTTGTATTTTGTTTGTTATTTTTATTTTGTTGCTGATTTTGCGCAGGGTGACAATAAAACTAAATGTAGCCTATCAGACGAGGAAGACCGAGTGCCATGTCAGAACAAACAGGTCGCCACCACTCGGAGAACAAGCAACGCTTCTGTCACAAGTTCATGTTGACGTCTATTGTTACTTTGTTACAGACTGGGTAAACAGTGACCACTCATCTGACTTATGACTTGTGTGTGAGTTCTGGGCAGGGCTTATGGGTTATGAGGGACAACAAGGATAAGTGATTGGATTATGACGGCTGGCCCACAACGCCAGGGGCAAATGCACAATTTATGACAAAACGTAATGGAGTCACTAAGGTGGCTGTCTAAGACAGGTGTTATTGCTTAGTGTGATGATAGGGGTTGAGTGTTAAAATATGGTGGCCGCGGCCGCGTTGGGCAGGTGCCCGTTTTACACAGTTAAATTATATAGAAAAAACGCAAGGGGGGGAAATGGAAAGTGGCTGTGTAAGTACAGGACGCCGTCAGGGCAGGTTCAACTGTACACACAAAAATCCTTTTACAAAGACAAAAAAAATTATCGGCCTCAGGATTAGTTTTCACAAAAATAGTTTTTCGCACAAGTTCAGTGAGATACAAAAAAAGACATTTGTGCGCCCCTCACTTTCTTTTCTTGTATCTCTACAGTCGACGGCTCAGTGTAAGACTGCTGCTATACATCACACTTTTCAAAATAGTGTACACTACACAATATAAACTGTAGGTTTGTATGAAATGGGGATAAAAGTTACATAGCAAACAAGCATAAGATGCTGTGATACTTACAGAGGAACGATTAATGAAACGGGTAGGTGGTTGAGGTTTTGCAAGTTGCCTGTACTCATTGACAAAATCTGTGCGAACTCGGCTGCGATAATGACCATAGTAGCCAGATGGGAACTGAAAAAGAAAGAAAAGTTTGAGAATTGAGTACAATGTATTAAAGTTGAATGAAATGTAACATTAAATTAAGTATTTTTAGACGTTCTAACTTCATAAAAAAGAGCCTCACACAAAACCTAGACATGAAAAGTGCCCATTTGCTTTAGCATGCCCCAAGCAGAATGAGGCCAGAACTCTGATCTCCATATCATAATTAATTTGAACACATAATTTGACCACTCCAGCAACTGTGGATTTTTTCTTTAATAAAGAGATGAGAGGGACATGGAAGGAAGGCTGGCAAATGGGGTGATGGGCTTGTTTTGTTTCTCTTTTTTTTTTTTTGGGGGGGGGAAGTCTTATTCTGGTTATTCTACGCTAGTACTTTTGGTCAAAGGGGGGGGGGGGGGTTGTTACAAGGCTGCAATCCAGAATGTTTCATTTGTGTGACATACACTCGATTCCAGGAGGTAAAAAGGTCTTCTTGTATAAAATTCATTCAAAATTTGGATTGTAATGAGCTTTATTTTTTATGCTGCAAGGAAGAAGAACAGTAATCGTTGGCTCTCAGAATGTCTGTGGGTTTTGGATAGGAAAGGAACATTTCTGAGCTTTGTAAAAGAACATGATGAGCTTGGAGAAGATGATGAAAGGGCTTTAGAATATTATGACCAAACTCTGCAATAACATCTTGTTATAGTATAGCTGCATTTTTCGATTGCTGAAGTCTAAGGGGGAATAAGAACAGAGAGCCTTTTTGATGAAATAACAATGAGCTTACTTTGAGATTAAAATCTCCATGTATTTTAATTATTTTTTAATGTTTGCCTTCTTTCTATTAACTGCTTCAGTACTAGTAATTTTGTTCTCAAGTGTAATGAACTTTCTTTTACATGTCTTTGCCATTTCAAAGTCTGGATGAGAACAATGATTTGGAGTAGAGATTATGGTAAAATGTGTTGGCCAGAAGCCCAAGATGAGATTGTTATTTCAAGACACAACTAAGAGTACTAAGACCTGCCATATGTGAGGCTGCACCCTTGTTTTGTTTGGTCTCTTTGTTTACATCAATGAACTAGTAGAATGGATCCAGCCATCTGCATTTGGACATTATGTCCAACACCAAACTCACTGATCTCTTCTTCAACAAGACAAATGATGTAATTAAACTTCTTCTTTCAAAATGTATCTGCTTCTGCTACAGGTGAATTGTAATACTTTTGACAAAACCTAGCAGAACACTCTGTCTTGAGGGGCTCTCGTGATCAAGAGGTATGGTGTTCACCTCTCACTCAAAAGGTCCCATATCGAAACCTGACAGCAACAACAATTTTTTCTCCTTTCCTGTTTGTCAAATTGTTTTCATCTCCACTTTCTCCCTCCACCTTCTTCTTCCCCTCTCTCCTTTAATCCTGACTCTACTGCTACTTCTAGTGCCTTCTTACTGCTATCTTTCAGCCACACCCCTGATCTTTGGGTGGGTAAGATCGAACACCTTTTATAGCCTTCACAGGTAAGGGTGAAAAATCTTGGAAGTCACGTGTGCAAATTGGGCTCTTTCAAGATCCCTTGGTGGTCCTAAAATCAATAAGAGTAAGCTTTGGCCACCACCACAAGAAAAATTCATAATTAATTCCTACCTAAACTGAACAAACCCTTGTCAGTATAAATACACATAGAGTATCTTTGAAATCAGAATGTGGCTGCCTGAAGACATATATATATATATAATATATAATATATATATATATATAATATATAATATATATATATATATATATATATATATATATATATATATATATATATATATATATATTACATCAAGGTCACATACATAAACATGAATGGCACTGCAGGCTGAAGAACCAGCATTTGATTACCCCTGAGATTTATTCGGGGAACGCAAAGAAAGAATTTTGTCCTTACTAGTGTCATACCTGGTAGCCATAGGAGCTCCACCATAGGTAAAAAGGGAATATTACTTTGTTACTGATAGAATCACAAAGGCAAGAATGTTCAAAATTAAGATTAATTTTTCAGAGAAGAACAGCTCTAATCGGCTGCGTTGTGCTGTGCGGAAGTGCATATATCTCCAAAGAACTCAAGAGAAGGGAAATGACGCAATTTACAAATCATGTGGAAAGTGAAAGTACATAGTCTCGTATACTAACGTGACAAAGAAAGGGGTTATGACAGCTGATGACAAGTAAAACCAGAAAGGCAATGGGAATGGCATTCCCACAGTCACAGATACAAAGGAAAGCAAAGAAAATGGTAGAAAGAGGCCGAGGCAGATGCCTAGTAACAAAATAGCATGGACAAAACCGAAGAAAGAAGGTGCATGCGGAGGACAATCTTGAATGTCTTGAACATCTTTGAGGAAGGACTTCCGTAATGAGGGACCACCCCAATAAACACATTAAAGAAGAGACCTAACCCTAACCCTACCCCAAACTTAAACCCTACTCCTACCCCAAGCCAAACCCTATCCCCAATTGCCCCAATAAAAAAGGCCCTCGATCTGTTCTACTCTGTCTCTAGGGGTCACTCATTATGGAAGTCCTCCCATCTTCGGAGAAGAAATCTTGGTGGCAAAGCCACACAATGGTGGGAGGATATCACCACTGTGTAGATAAGATTATCTTTCAGATGAAACTGGCCCAAACTAAAAAACATTACATGGACATTTAACTTAAATAAAAAATTAATTTAGGTAGATTAGTAGGCCGGCATTACTAAACTATGTTAGATCTAACTAGATCTAGATCTAGACTATGTCTGTACTGATGAGTCCCTGCGTTCATTTAACATACAAAGTCAAGACCTTTCATCTCCCGCAATATCAAGCATGTTGTTTGTTCTTAGAAGAAGTAACAATCTAAGCAATTCAAGAAGAAAGTGCATGGCCTGATTAACAACGGACTTGCAAAAAAAAATGAGGCATGCATGACAAAATTAAAATGGAATGTGGATACTGGCCAGTAAATGACAACACAGAAAATAGATGATAGATCTAGCGAAAAATAAATCCAATACAAACCCAGCTCCCGACTACATGCGTTGAAACTTTAGTAGCCATTTGTTATGCTAAATAATTCATCATCAAGAGTTCCGGAATTAAATCAGTCACAACTTCGAGATGGTCCCTGCAATGGCTTTGCTTTCTTTTAAAACCCTCTTCCGGTCAACAACCCAACTACGCGTATCTATGGTACACAACCCAGGGGGCGCTCCAAAAGGTCACTTCCGGTAAAAGAGGGGAACTGGAATGTCTGATTGTCTCTCTCTCTCTCTTTAGAGTTTTGACAATTAGGCCTATTACTTTTCCTATTTAATTTTTTTTATGAATGCTCTCACTCTCAGTGCGTGTGCATATATGTGTGAGTGTGTGTGTGTGTGTGTGTGTGTGTGTGTGTGTGTGTGTGTGTGTGTGTGCGTGCGTGTGCATCCGTGCATGTCTTGGAAATCGTGTGAGTGCATTAAAAAGCTCAAATCTGCTATTGATATTATAGATATGCTAGTGGTCACACTTGTTCTCTTGTAACACCGCACGCATTGTCCTACCTTAAAATGAATAAAGCATGTTCCACAGTACGAATCTAGTTATATATATTCATCATATTATTTTTAGGCAAAAAGTGTCTTGTTTTATTACCATCTGCATTGCTACGTCAATAGTCACCAAGAAACTTGATAAAATTTACATATATCGCGGTACAAGGCACAAAAACCTGACCGTACTTTGTTTATAAACGTTGACGGAGATGGGTTCAAAGGAGTATCGTCTGCTGGCCTAGCACGCAGCGCAGTAGGCCTACGTGCTGCCACTGAAACACTGATGGGTGCACTTTATTTTGACAGGAGAGACCTCGTTTATTTGTAGTTCAGAAATCAAATGAATGTACACGGTGGAGACGTTTGAACGCCATGAGCATGTACACGAAAGAGTATCGGTCGTAAGTTCATTTTCGTAGTAAATCTTTACGTACAGCTTCGGGCAGCCGGCCTCCAGCAGAGTAGAATGATTCTATCGCTACCCATCATCATCATGACATCATCATCCTTTCCTATCTCACCCTGCACCAGGGTACAGGCCACGAACAAACACTTTTCACCTTTCTCTATCCTTGGCTGGCCTCCTGATGTTATTCCATGTCTTCCCGCTTTTCTGTAGACTGTAGGCCTACTGTAGGCTACATCAATTTCTGTGATTTTTCTCCATGAGGTTCCACGTATGTGGTCTTCACCTTAATCTTTTACCCTGTGGCCTGTGGGTTCCAATCCAACACTTTCTTTATCATGCAGCTGTTGACTTCCTGAGAGCTGGCCATTATGTACAACGCTGCAACTTATCCTTTCTTACATGCTCTTGATGAGGTTCACCAACTTCTGTGGGATTCCATGATGTCTCAGTATCTTCCATAGTGTTGCTCGATCTATACTGTCAAAGGAAGTTGACGATTAGCAGGGAGTTCCACTCTAGGGACTGTTCCACAATGATCCTCAGCATGGCAATCTGGTTGGTTGTAGAGCGATTTTTCAGAAAACCAGCCTGTTCATCCCATAGTCTTGGATCTGTTTTATCACTATCACTTTACTTTAATTTATATCAGATGGGCGGGGAAACAGATGAGACTTCATCGTGTCATAAGTAGAGCTAGACCACCAGACCTGTCCTTTGGGGGCTCTCGTGGCCTAGGGGCTCTCGTGGCCTAGGGGTTAAGGTGTTCGCCTCTCATTCAAAGGTCCCAGGTTCGAATCCGGGTAGCAACGAAAACTTTCTTATCTAAAATTGTCTCCTTTCACCTTCTTTCCTTCTCTCTTGCAATATTCTGTCGTCTTCCAACTGCTACTCCTTGGCTCCCTCTTACTACTGTCTTTCAGCCACACTTCTGGTCTTCTGGTAGGAAAGATCTACACCTTGCCTTTTCAGAAAAGAGCGAAAAATCTGAGAACTCAGTTTCAGTTTCAATTGATTATAATAGTGGTAAGACAGATTTTGGTCACACTGTGTAGTCCACAGCGCCCACGGCAAACCAAAATACATGTTGTTTCCTAGAGTCTTGTAAGTGTAGTGTAACCAAAGATTCTCTACTACAGTAGTCTCTCCGCCTGAGATCCCAGTGCTCGGAAGCAAGGAAAATACGGGATCTTAGCCGACAAAGCCAAGGAAGAATGTACAGTGACCTATGAACTGACATGACCCCTTGGTGGGTTTATGACATACGGCGAGCAAAGAGTGGTCAACCTTGATGCCCAATCACAGTGGCATGAGGCATGCCATACACTCATTAGCTTATCGTGAGTCTCGAGATCTTTATCTACATTTATCCAGTTGCCCCTGTCCAACAATTTTAGCTTTCCATCTCTGACCGAGTCTTCCCCCCCATAACCGTCTTTGTCGTAAGGCACCATTACGTTGCGACCACACCAATTAAAATTCAGGCTGTCTCGCAAATTCGGGAATAGAGAAAAACTGCTTTCAATGGTCAGGGAAGAGTTCACAGTTCGATGTGATCCCGCCTGGAGCGAACTTGTAGGCCCTACCCACCAGCGAGTGATCGTGGCCTTCGTGATAACGTAGGCCACGGAGTGATGTAAGTTTAGGTGGCGAGCTCAGATGCGAGTGCCATGTTTGGAGACCTGAGAAAAGAAACGCATCTGTCAGTTCACACCTTTGGTGTGATCCCGTCTGGGGCAAACATTGTACCGTTTCATGGAGTTTTACAATGTGTATGTGATCACATTCACAAGAGTGGCTGATCTTTGACACGACGGGCCGTTCTTTGATCTCAACTTTTAACTCTTGGTTGATAGGCTGTGCCCGCCCGAGTGTTTATTCCGTAAATTATGATCAGAAATGCTGGCACTTACCCTTTCATTAAGCTTCAAAAGTACTTAAAATGTACTTTAAAAATACTCAAAAGTACTTTTATAAAAAGTATCAGAGTACAGTACAGAGTTCTCAAAAATGTACCAGAGTAGTCTTTTTCCCCCTCGGCAACTGATGATTATAATTACAATGATAAGCTATTCTTGGCGTAGATCTACGTACTGAATTGTGCGCTGGTCTATGGGATCAAAAGTTGCCGAATGCAGGCTCTACACTGCAACACAACTTTTTGGTAAACAATCGAGATGACACAGGCGTGTGTATTTGAACGAATCAGCCTTTTTTTTTTTACACAGCTCAAAATATGCAGGCATTTCAGGCACTACTCTACTTGTGACTTCTCTTGTACATTACTTGCTCAGTGCCTGTAATTATCTACACAAAACCTCGTGTTTGCTATAACAAACACTCGGATTCAACGAGATTTTAGGTCAGGTCCGACGACTTCGTTGAATCCGAGTTCCACTGTACCACCTCTTCACTTGCCCTTCACTTAGCGACCTGCGTTATAGTACCTACCAAGGTACCTGCAGACCCAGATATTGGAAATACTCTCTACAACGAAAAAACACAGCTGATTAAAACCTGTAAATTCTTTGCCATATCAACAGGCCGAAGGGCTTGAACTTGAATCGAACTTGAACCGCTGCATCGAAAAAGTAAAGTAAAGTAAAAGTACACTGAGTGGATTATTTTGCTCTTTCACTTTCTGATCTGGTGGCTCAAAGTGAATTTTTTAGTGAATAGAGTAGGATTTTTTAGTGAATTAAGTAGGCCTAAGCTATTATAGATCTAGTAGCCTACAAAAATGAGGGAATTGTGAAAATTTTGCTGTCATCTTTTCTTTATTGTGTTCACATTGGTTTTTCAGGTCAGGGTATGACTCTTCCTTTGGAAGTGAGCATGTGTCATCTCAAATGCAGAAATCTCAACCTTCAAGTTTCTCCCAAATGTCTACACAGGGCATGTTCTCACACTCTCAGAACATTTCAATACCAGTTGATGAGGTATTGTTTGTGTTGGTGACTATGAGGCAATGTATAGGGCCCTACGGTACTCTAGATCTGAATGTGAACGTATTACTTTAAGTAATTGTTTTAAAACTTGTGATGCTATAAATTTGCAATCTTGTGTGTGCTCTGAAGAAAAAGCCAGCACTTCCCTGCATTTTTTAATTTCCACACTTCCTATAGGAAGCTAGAAATTAGACTCAAATTTGACTTGATAGAGAGATAATGTAGAGATGTAAAAGAATAAGGAAATTGCATGGTAGTCGAAATACGTTTTTAATGTCATTTTCAGTAGATCATAAGGAACCTTTAAATTACATTTTACTCCAATGGAGGAGCCAAGTATGGTATATGTGGAGAGCCATGAAAGTTTCTGAATTTCAAGGACTCACCTTTAGGGATTTGAGCTAGGGTCATCTGCATCATAGCCCAGCATGATATCAACTGAGGGTATATGAAAACATGGTTATAGTGTTGAATTTGATGAAGTTTCTGTTGTTGTTGTTTAAACAGACTGATAAATGTGGAATTAGCTTTTATGAACTTGAAGACTAACTACTTTTATACGACTTCACTGATTAAACTTTGGAATTTTTGTGGAAATAAGAGTAAAAGAATAAGTTCTCAGGGAGAAAGATGACATAAGATCATTTCAAAAGTGTCATTCAAAAGTTCTATTTACTCTACCCACCAGTTTGCACATCCAGCTGTGTATTCATGGATTATTTTTAGTCTTCCTGACATTTGCTTTCCTCTCAGTACTAGGGTTTGTTCCATGAACACTGAACTTAATGCGAATTTCTTCATCAAACACAAATGTACAACACTACAGGCTTGTCTTGCTCATTGGACTTACAGTTGCATGTTGAACTAAACGTATGGATATCATGTAGCTGTGAAAAATTTTAAGCTTCTGTTCATAGCATTGTGAGAATATTTTCATTCTATCGCAAAAGATGCTGTACAGGGCCATTTTTGTATGTGTAGTCTCAATTCATGGTTATCAGAATACTAATACTCCTTTTCTTTGTTACATTTTTCAGCAAACGCCACACTCTAAATTTAGTATGTATGAGAAGTGGCTTAACAAAAAATCAAATTTCAAAGTGGATTCAGTCTCTAGTCCAGCTTGTGAGGAAGGCAAACTGCAGTCCAGTCAAGATGCATCCAAAAACATACCCAGTAATGAAGTGACGTCAAGGACAAGTGTAAATGCACATTACTTAGGTAACCCAAGAGATGGCAACCACACCTTGGCTGGAAGCTCCTTTTTTTCGTCTAGAAATGCTATGAGCAGAGCAAATGTGGAAGAGAAAAATGAGAAGTATGTATTATCTTCAGTTTATTTATATTTCTTTGTGCACAGTTATCTGTCTCTTCTTAGCCTTTTTTGATGCTGTTCTTATTTTGTTCAGTATGACAAGGTTTGCAATCAGGCTTTAAAGATCCTTTTGTATAGCGTAGGTTGGACCAGTCAGAAACAAAGTCCATGTACAGGCCTGTTCCTTGACAAAATGTTCCCCATAGCTACAATTATGCACTGAATGTTTGTTTATTTTGTAAAGCCTTTGGAAAAAATTAACAAATCAATTCCTCTCAGATGTCTATTGTACCTCTGTAGGCTCATGATCATCATCAGTAGCATTTCTTACCTCCCCTGCCTGAGTATTGGCCACTATCAGTACAAGAGCTATCCATCTATTCTGCCTTGGACTAGTCTCTACCTCTGTCCAGCTATATCCCTTCTATGTACTATGTGTTAGATTGTAAATGCACAGAGAAAAAAAATGGTCACCTCATAACACAAAACATATATTATATGTCACATTATATTCTCTTTGACCTAGACATCTCTTGGAGCAGGTTGTCCAGTCTGTACGAGAATCCAGTACTGAGGTATGCACAATTTTGATCTTTATGTCTTTCATAAGATGCTTAGTATTCACAGGGACTTTTGATCTACAATCTGTTTTATACTTGTTTATATTATTTCCTCCTCAAAATAGACAACTTTGTCAATAGTGAATAAGTAAATATTGCTATCCTTTTTGTTGACAAAAAAGATACTGTACCATAATCATGGTGCTTAGCAATTGAAAACGAAAAGCTATTATATAGGGTTGGATGGAAAGGGAAAAGAAACCTATATCTTAATTTTACTGATGTTTTGGGTTTTTTGGGTTTTTTTCAACAGCTCTATAGTTTTGTATGGGGAGTTTACCATACTAAAGCTTTTCAAAAAAGAAAACAGGACACCCTGGGTGCTTAAAAAGGATAGGTGATGCAGCTGCAGCTTTATGCCAATGAAGTTCTGAAACGGTCTCTGAGGTGCAAACTAAAGACTTGAGAATGCCTTGAAAAGTAATACTAGAAGACTCATTAGCCAACTCTTACCACATCCTCACCAAATACTGGGAACTTGTAGAGGACCTGAAAAGGATGGTGAAGTTCAATTCTTCATTTTGATGAGGAATATTATGACAATCATGATAATAAAGAGGACAAATGGAACAAACCCATCCCAGCCCCAACTATCAGGAGGCAAAAACACTCATCAAGTCAACAATCCATTCCCAATGGAATGAGACAACACAGAAGAAAGGACCCAATCTACCAGCTCCCAAGAGCCGACCAAGTGATAATCTTCAGACTCAGAACAGGATACAACAGGCTGAAGCATCACATGTTTTTGCGATTAAAAATCAGTAATGGACCCAACTGTCCTTGTGGTGCTAGCCGCCAAGATGCACAGCATATTCTCCAGGACTGCCCACTACTGGATACGGCAAGACAAAAATACTGGCCTCAACACAGGGACATGCACCAGAAGCTGTGTGGCAGCCCTCTCGACTTGAGAAACAATGCATCACTTGAGACATCAAACACTTCAGCCCTCACCATCTAATCTACCATGAAGATCGAAGAAGCAGAAAAGAAAAATGATAAGAAAGGAACATGGAAGTTGTGAAGTAGTAGTGCAAAGAGTGACTTGAGGAATGATCTTTGTTATGCTCATTTTCTGTGTTTTCTACAGTACCTATATAATATAATGAGAGTAATGAGGCTCTTCTGTATTTCATCCTTTTTTTTCAATGATTTTTTTTTTCATGTTCTTTGCAGTTTAGAATGTCTTTCAACTGTGTTGAAAATCAGTATTTTTAATACTTCGCTATGTTCCTTTCCTCCCTTAGCATTAATACACTTCTGGGAGTGCTGTACACAATATTGACAGAAACAATTATTAATCTAAGGTATTTTTTTAACGACTCACTAAGGATTGAGGCATCAGAGTGAGAAATAATTAGATTGCAATCTTATCAGATAGGACAGGTAGTTTTTAGCAGCAGTCAATATAATCAGTGTATTGTCAAAAACACAAAAATTAGTAGTGAAATGGAATTTCTAAGAGCTTAATCAGCAGTTAGAAAATAAAAATCCAGAGATGGACAAATTAACACTAGGCACAGATGTTATGTGATAAATCTCTGGGTCAATATTGATATGAACAAAATATGTTAATTGAAACATGTGATGTATAAAAAAAAATTATTCACTGAGGGAATATGCCTTCTCCGCAGATCAAATCGGGCTTGTTAGCAATACAGGACAGATTGCAAGTGATGAGTTCTGCCCCTGATACACAACTGTCACAGACTGTCACTCAGTGTAAGTGTATATGTGCGTTTTTAATTTCATCTTCTAATGATTTTGTTTATAATAATTACTCAAATAAAAGGGATTCTTCTTGTCCATAAAATAGAGACCACGGGTCATCATGATATTCTGTCACTGTTAGGCTCTGGAAAATCTAACTCATGCTCAAGGGTCATGAAAATCGGGACGGGGGTGGGGACAAACTAATAGTTTAACCGACAGACGCTAGATCTGGGTCATTATTGAACTGACAGTTTGTCAACAGAGAAGTTCCGTTTAGACGTACAGTTTTTTATCCTTTAAGTGTCAGTCCTTGGACTGCTATAGCTAGGTCATACATCAATGACGATATGGCTGAAGCAAGTTACCTGGACGATTTGGCAGCATTTTTTGTTCTCAAATCTAAAAGGAAATCTAGAAAGAGGACCATCTGGGCTAAAGAATGGCAATTAAAAAGAAGTATCTATGCACACACAAATATTCTAGAGGAATTACAAGCCTACACGACGGACTTTACTAACTTGTTACGAATGGATGAGCCGGCATACCTCTATACTCTACAGCTGATCAGACCCATGATTGAGCAACAGTCAACAGTGATGAGAGAAACAATCTCTCAACATAAAAACTGACAGCAACATTCTGTTTTCTTGCTACAGAAGCAACCTAAAAAGACTTCAAATTCACATCTAGTATTTCTGCACCACCACTTATTATTCCTCATATATATGCTCAGCTATTCATGGTACTCTTGTATATTATGAAAGTATGTCATTCAATATCTAGAACATATTAATGATTTGCATTATTTTTTGTTTTTTACGGTATTGAAGACTTTGTAGATTTTGTTATTCTGTCCGCGTGGCGTGGCCGCGTTTTTTCGTGTAATTCTGCAACATTTGCATAGTTTTGGATTCCCCACTTTTTTTCACGTTTTTTCCCTTTTTTTCACAAAACAATTTATTAACGCCTCGCCATATGACTTAAGGGAAGTAATAAATAAGTCTAATTTAAGTGACAAGTTGGTTATTTCCCTTGTTAGAAGATCTTGGTTATGGGTTGGGATTTTGTTCCTTGAGCATGTTCAATTTTTCAATCCATCAAAAGTTGTTGTTCTCATGTCTGCTGATGTTTCATGTTTTGACAGGTGTCCCTGGTTTTAGTAATGTGCCAACATCAGAGGTCCAGGTGTCTTTTTTTTTTTACAATTTTCTTTCCTCTATAGAGATCTAGAGATCTATAGCTGAAAGTTAGAGATTATATTTTTTGGTTGTTTTTTTTCTGACTGATGTAGTAGTAGTAGTACAGGGTTTTACGGCGCTCGCAACTGCGTAAGGTCATATGAGCGTGCGAAACACAAGTTGTTTACTTTTGCAAAAGTTCACTGCACGATTGGTTAACTATTAGACTTTAAAATGCTAAAATATTAAAATTCGGTGTAAATATATTTTCAATTTAAAACAACTCTTATAATTAACAATAAAAATTTTAAATAGTACGATTTCACTTTACAATTTGCGATAAAGGCCAATGGCCTTCATAAAATTCAATATTCTGCTGGGAACAACGACGGAAAAAATGTCTTGCAATTTTTTGCATTTATATTTCCTTCGGATCTCTCCAAAGTCTACACATGTCCGATGCGCAATCGAGTAAAAATGACTTCGTCTCTTCTGGAGAGGTCCGAAGGATTTCGCTGTTCTAGTTTGGGTTTTATTTCATATAGTTTATTGTTTTTCTGTTTTTCCCAGTGGCTCTTCCACAGACCGGAGGAATACTTTTTGACTTTATTTCTAAAGTCAGTCTGTGGGAGAGTGTTTGTCGTTGATCCCAGCAGAAGGGATGAAGCTTTTTTTCGCCAGGTCGTCTACCTGCTCGTTTCCTCGGAAGCCCACATGGCTAGGTATCCATGCGAACATGATGTTTTTTCCTGTCTCTGATAGTGTGTGAATTTTCTGTTGTAGCCTAACTATTTTTGGGTGTAAGAGTGTGTAGTTGTGAGTGAGGTGATGCAAGACAAAGAGTCAGAAAGGATTAGGAAAGATTTGTTTGGAGAATTTTCTACGGAGTCCAGTGCCGCAGAGAAAATGGAAGCTTCAGGATGGAGTCTCCTCTGGTGTGTTCTGTTGGGAGATAGGGCTGCGGCGCCCACTTCATTGTCTTTTTTGGAGCCATCCGTGAAGATGAGCTCCGCACCGGGGTATTTATCTATTAGTTTTGTGTATTCTGCTTTAAAAGTTTTGGTGTTTGTGCTTTCCTTGTTGTGTGTGGTCAGCTGTAAGTCTACTTTTGCCTTGGTGAGGTGCCACGGAGAGAGGTCGGGGAAAAGAATTTGTTGGATGTCTTGTTTGGAAAAGTGTAAGTTTTTGAGGTCCTCAAGGATTCTGAGGCCGAAGGGTTTGATGAGTTTTTCGTTGTTTTGGAATTTGTTTATGGTTTCTGGGTTTGTTTTAAAAATGCTGTTGTGCGCTGGATTTTCCGGTGTTGAGCTCTGTTTAACTGCGTATTGTAGTGAGAGTTGTGTGCGTCTGAGTGAGAGTGGTGGTATGTTGGCCTGGGCCTGGAGGCTCTCCACCGGAGAAGTGCGGAAAGCCCCCAGAGCAAGGCGGAGTCCTTGGTTTTGTATTGGGTCTAGCATTTTTAAGATGTGTGGTTTTGCCGATCCGTAGACTTGACAGCCATAGTCAAGCCTGGACCGGACAAGGGAGATGTACAAGTGGAGAAGGTATTTTGAGTCCCCGCCCCACTCCGGATGCGATAGAATTTTCAAAGCGTTTAGCGCTTTCTGGCACCTCACACGAAGGTCTTTGATGTGTGGTATGAATGTGAGTTTTTTGTCGAAAATGACGCCGAGGAAACGAGCTTGGTCCTGGGCGGGAATCCTTTCCCTGTATAGTGTCAAATCCGGCTGCAGCACACGTCTGCCTGTTCGGCAGAAGTGTACTGCAACCGTCTTCGACGGGGAGGACTTGAAACCGTTATTGTTTGCGCACGTTTCGAGTTTGTGCATAGATCTCAAATGAGGATTTTTCTAACAGCAGCATATCAAAAAGTCGTCAACGTATAACGAGCTGTCTATGCTGTTTTGGAGGGTTTATACTATGGAATTTATTTTAATTTCGAATAAGAGAGGAGAAAGGATGCTCCCCTGGGGGACTCCTTCCTCCTGTTGGTGTGGGTCTGAAAGGGAGGATCCGACATGAACCTGGAAGGAACGGTTCTTCAGGAAGTTGCCAATGAAGGCAGGGAGGTGACCGCGTATGCCGAGTGCGTGCAGGTCTCAAAGAGTGCTGTACTTCCAGGTTGTGTCGAAGGCTTTTTCTAGGTAAAAAAAGATGGCGATCATGTGGCCTCTTTCAGCGAATGTCTCGCGTATAAAGGTCTCCAGGCGGACCAGGTGATCCAGAGTGGATCGAGTTTTCCTGAATCCGCACTGGAGACCGCTCAGCGAGCCCGCCGTTTCCAGAAACCACATGAGTCGCCTGTGAATCATTTTTTCAATCAGTTTGCAGAGACAGCTCGTTAGTGCTATTGGTCTGTAATTGGATGGGTGTGTGTGGTCCTTGTTTGGTTTGGGTATTGGAATGACAATGGCGAGACGCCAAGACTCCGGAAAGGAGTGCAACCGCCGCATGTCGTTGTATATGTTTAGTAGGAGTGTAAGTGTTTCTGAGGGTAAGTGTCTAATGATCTGGTTGTGGATGTCATCCGGTCCCGGGGCTGTATTGCCCAGGTCCGAGATGCATGATGTTAGTTCGTCTATTGTGAAGTCTGCGTTGTAGATTTCAGTGTTGTTTGAGTGGAAGTTTAGGTGTTGTTTTTCTCTGTTAGTTTTGATGTTTTGAAAGGTGGTGTTGTAGTTTGCTTGGGATGAGTTTTTGGCAAGAGATGTAGCTATTGTGTTTGCGATGTCTACTTGCGTTTCAGCTGTGGTTCCATCCGGCCTCTGGATGTGCCGAATGGTGTCTGTGCGTCTACCTGATAATTTTTTAGCAATTTTGAAAACTTGGTTGAGTGGTATCTGGCTGTTGATTTTGGAGATGTATTTTTTGAATGATTGTCTTTTGCTCTCCCTGAGGCATCTACGTGCCACAGCTCGAGCCTTTAAATAATTGATCTTGTTTTCTATGGTGGTGTTGTTGACGGCCTTTCGATACGCTGCCTTCTTTTTCTTTACTGCATCTTCACATTCCCAAGAGAACCAGATCTTGTTCCTCCGGGGTTTTGTTTTTGTTTTTGGTATGTGTTTTTGGCATATTTCTAAAAGCTTTTCGTGGAATTTATTGTTGTTGAGGTCGAAATTGGGATTAAGAATCTGGGAACATTGATTGGCAAACCCGTCCCAGTCTGCTTTTTATTTTTTGAAGTTGAAGCGTTCTGGGATCGGGTTGTTTTGGAGGCTATTGTTTTTGAAAAGAATTGGGAAATGGTCCGTACGGTCATCCAGCACAGACCACTCAAGATCTGGGACTAGGTCAGGGGTACAAAAGGTGAGGTCAAGGGATGAAGTGCCATAAGTGGCTCTGTTTCTGTAAGTTGGGGATTTATCATTTAAGAGACAGATATTATTTTGAAATAAAAATTTTCTATTATTTTTCCTTTCTGGTCTATAGGTTTGTCTCCCCAAAGGGGGCTGTGGGCATTGAAATCACCTCGCAAAATAAAGGGTTTTGGAAGCTTAGCCTTTAAGTCATTTAGTTGGGTTATTTTGAGGGGGTAATTTGGTGGGATATAAACTGAGCAGATAGTGATTGGTCTGTGCAGGGTGACCCGTACGGCAATAGCCTGGAAGGTCGTCTTAAGATGTACTTGTCTGTGGAGTGTGTTGTTGTCGGTGTAGATGGTGCTACCACCGGAAGCAATCTGGTTCTCTGTGTGAATGTGATGGTACGCAGTAAATCCTCTTAAGTCTATGGTTGAAGCCGGGGCGAATTTTGTTTCTTGAATACAGGCCACCCGTGGGCACAGTGTGGCCTGTAAATGTTGCTATTTTGCAATGGAAGGTCGGATTCCGCCGGCATTCCATTGGAGGACCGCCATTAAGATTTTTTAGTTTTTATTTTGGAGCTCAAAGGCCCCGGCTTCGAAGAAACACTCTGACTCCTCCTTGCGGGGAAGGCAGAGTGTTTTCTAGGTGCCATCCTGGATTGGACGGTGGTCTAGTGGGGGATTTGGAGGAGTGACAGACTCCTCCTTTCCCGGGGTCAGGCCTGGGAGGGGAGTCGGAGCTGTCTTCCTCCTTAGGCAGGGGTTTGTCTGCTGGAGGGGTAGGGGGAGGTGAAGCAGACCGAGGGGGCTGGGGGGGGAGGGGGCTGGGGGGAGGGGAGAAGGCCCACCTCACACTCCATCAAAGGGATGGGCTGTGAGGTGGAAGAAGGAGAAGAAGAAAAAGGGATAGAAGAGCTGTGAGGGGGAGAAGAGGATAGCGGTTAGAGAGTGGCACCTCAAAGGGAGTTGCCACAGGGATAGTTGCGGGCTTTTTGTTCTTAGGCACAGAGACTTGCCTGTTGACCGCGGGCTTTGGGAGGTCGGCAGTAGAATTACTTGCCGACCTTGTGACCACCTGGGCTGCCTTTGAATACGACCGGCCAATGACTGGGGTTGTGATGGCGGGCAGACAACCTTACGGGCCTCCTGGAAGGAGCAGCCATTTCGCGCCTTGTATTCTTGGACGGCGCATTCTTGGAGCCAAGTCAGGCACTCCTTGCTGAAAGCTGTGTGCTGGCTGTGGCAGTTGGGGCAACAAGGACTAGCCTTGCATTCCTTCTCAGGATGCCCGGTCTTGCCACAACGAGGACACACGGCTGCGTGACGGCACCGTGACTGGCTATGGCCGAACTTCTGACACTTGAAACAGCGCAGAGGGTTCGGCACATAGGGTCATACGTCGAGTACCAAGTAAGATACCCGAACAGTGGCTGGAGGGCGACACAATTCGAAAGTGAGGACAATCGTGTTCGTTTCAATAGTAGCCTCCCCCCGCCGAAGAGTAATCCGGCGGGCTTCGACCACTCCCTCACAGTGCTTCACAATTTCTTCCATGGAGCAGCCTTTCAGCTCATGGCTGCGGACGACGCCCTCCGAACGGTTGAATTTCTGGTAGCGCTCGGACCTACATGGAATACCGCCGAAGGTTGTGGTATCCAGGAGTTTGGTCACTTCGTCTTCAGTTGCGCACTTGACGAGGAGTACACCAGAGGACAGCTTCTGGACATATTCGTAGGAATGTATCCCAGAACCTGTCGTAGTGCATCTCCCGTCTTGAACAGATTCAGATCAGTGATCTTCTTCTGTGAGTCTTCTTAGCAGCTGATGGCCACGTACGGCTGCTTCGGAAGCTCCCTGGGAAAAGGGAGGAAAGAAACAATGGTAAAGGTCCTTTTTCCTGTTTTTGAATTTTTGCTCGACTCGGCGGCGGCACCCGCTTCCGCGAGCCGAGACTTTTTGTTAACGTTGGGAGCTGGGGAAGGGTCTTTTTTAAATTTGGATTCCATATGAAATTTATGGTTGATTCTACTCCGGGGCTCCCCGCCCGCCACGGAGCCCAACAAGGGGACACATTGCTCGGATGACCAGAGCTGTGCCAGGGCTACCCCGGAGCTATACTCTCAACGAGAAAGTACAAGACCCTCCCGTCAAGATTGACCCAGGGCTTGATGGGGTTTCAGCTCTCAACCGATTGAGTGGAATGGGCCCTGCCACCCTCCCGTCTAAGAGGAAAACCTGAGCCAAAGAGGTGTGTTGGCGAGGGATAGTCCGTGGACTGATCTCACCTCAACCGCCAGGAAACCGTTTTCCCTCCGCACGGGTCGCACCTCACGGTCAACGAGGTGCCCACTCTGTGGGATGGGTGACGTCTCTTTTTGCTGCACTTGAGGTCAGTGGTGGTAGGAAAGATAGAAAAAGAAAGAAAGAAGGAAGGAGAAGAGGAAGATACACCAAAGTAGGTGTCGCATCCGGATCTCAGAGGATTGGGGTCCGTGTTTCGACACCTCGCCTTTGAAGGGGTTGCACCTTCTGCAGACGAAGCAGTGGGTCTATTTATATCTCCCGACCCACTGGGGGTATTCTGATTGACGTGTCTTGTTTTCTTTCCAAATGCACAACAAATTACTGATACTGATATGTTCTGTTTTCAATTTTTCTGCACACAAAACATGAAAATCATGAAAATTCTTGTTGAAAAAGTGCAAAACATGTCGCGAATGGTGTTACGATAACTGGCATAATTTTTGCATAATTTTGCATTTTTTGGGCATAATTTGGCCATCTTAATTTGCATAATTCTACAGGGACAGGTTATTTATCATTCAGTTTCATGCCCTGGCCTACTTAACATATGGGAATTAATAATAATTATGGTTTCCCCAAACATACAAAAAATTAACTTGGTACAGTAAAACATGACTGCAGCAGGACCTTACTGGAATCCCCCTTTTTTTTCTATGTAAACCCAATTACCTGTGTTCTGATTTAGGGGGGCAAGGAAAGGTCCGAACTCGGGTACAGCCGAAGATTGAGTGAGCTCTAGCTGGGGGGAAGGGGGTTGGGGGGCTGTGGGCAGGTTCCAAACAAGCAGTCAGCGGTTCGGCATTGGGATTGGCCAGTCCAGTGATAAGTGAGGCGGGGTAGGCGGCAGAGAGAGATTGTGCGGAGAGACGCGTTATGTGAGCTACTCCAAAAGTGATGTGCCATATATCTTAGATGCTCAGTATGAGTATGAGAGTGTATAGGCGATAGCCCTAGGCCTTGGCTAGGCCAAAAAGTAAAAGAAGAGGAGAGCGTGTAATGTGTGATTCCCGATCCATTGAATTGCGATTGTTGATGCTCATAGGCATACCTAGGCATCCACTTCACCAGTTTTATAGCAGGCTTACCGATACGATAGACAGCAGAAGCAATGAGACCGAGGAAAAGATCGCTTAAACAAAGATGAAAGGAAATAATTCTCACTTGAATTAAAGGCCGAGATAATTAATGAAGTTGACAAGAAAACGAAGACAAATCTAAAGTGCAAACTTTATTGATATGGAAGGGACGTCATGTGGATTTAAAAAAATTTTCCGGTAATTTCCTCTTTGCATTCCTATAGCGGGAACTCGCCTTCAGCAGGATTTTTCTTCTAGAACCAAAAGTCCCGCTTTAACCTTGGCGTGTTCTACTGTAATCCGGCATTAAATTGTGTTCCCAGCGTGATTTTGAAGAATTATCTTGGGTCGCTCATCATGAAAATTTATTATTTTTTTGATTTGGTCAATATTTAGGAAACTTTTGGAATGCATTTTATCTCTCCCCTGGGGCAACATCAAAGAAGCCGCTCCCTCGTCGTCATGCCTTCGGTTTGCCGGCCAGAAAATATGTTTGTGTGCCTAAAAAAAGGTACCAAAAGTCGGATTTTCACCATTTTGAGTTAAGGGTTGTACCTTATAGGAAATTCAATGCTAAACACAGGGGTCTTTGAATTTTTTTTATATCTCAAGTAGTTCTTGAGATATTGCACGTTTTGTGAGATAGGGTAACAAGTAAAAAATATAATTTTGAGAAAATGAGCTTTTAAGTTTAACAGGGGTGAGAACCCATACAAACTTTTTTTTAAGTCAATGTTTTAAATGTATTTATTCATGGAAAATTCATTTCCAATTTGGCATTCAGTTGACATCAATAAGGAATGGAATTCAATGGTAAACATAGCAGGGAAAAGAAGACGTGCTCCAAGAATAGATTTTAACACCTTTTAAAAGCAGTTTACATTATTTGTTGTTATTATACCCTACCCTCAAAATAATTCAAAATAAAATATTTAGAAGTTAAATCAATGAAAACCCTTTGAGCACATTGTAAAAAAATGGTGGATCTATCATTTTTTAATGGAAATGCATTTTGGTCCAAAAAGTGATTTTTGTCTTTTTTAGCCTGTAGCTCGTAACGGTCTGCTGCGACTTTTGGTGCCTTTCTCTAGTGGCACACATATATTTGGCTTCACCAGATATCTGGTGGCTGGACTGAGAACCCTTCATTATTGTGAGGATAGCTCATTTCCGCTCTCAGTCTTTCTGGGAAGTTGACAGGATCCCGGCCATTCTTTCGATATCCTACAGTTATCCTACTAATCAATGAACTTCACGTGTAAAGGGGCCTTCAGACTGTTTTTTTAAAAAGAATATATTCAGGGTAGATCTATTGATGCTAGATGTAGGACAGAAAGTGGGATATCTTAAAAAATATTTACTGTACCTTGGGCTGTCCTGCTTTAGGACACAATGCTAAATCTTTAGGTCACAATCGTAACGGACATTTTTTTGTTTGCAGTTCTGGAAGACATATGGAAGCACGAAGAAAAAGTCTTGAATATGCTAGAGGAACACAATTCAAAGAAAAGCTCAACAGAGGAACTGGAACATAAACTGCTTGTGGTTTGTGATTTATTGTCTATGTTTGAATGCTGTGTATGAAATAATGTTACAAGGGATTCTCATTGGTGTTCAGCAGAACAGTTAGATTCTAATAGGTACTGTTTTCCATATTGGGCTACTGTACTCAGAGCTGAAGTAAAGTTTTACTCTATATAATATTTACTGTTGATTCGTTACTTATTAGATAACCAAGGACATATCTTCCTCGAGCTTTTTTTTATAGTTTTGCTTCATTTTATCTGTAAATTGTCTTCTCTTGTAAAGTCATATTTTTATCACTGTTTTATAAATGTTGAATTAAGTGTATCACTCAAATGTGGAGAAATTTTCCTGTGTCATGTCTTTTTACTTTCAGAAAGATGCAGAGGTAAAAACTCTGACTGCTCAGCTTGAGCAGGCAAAGAAAGATGACACCGAACGGCTTGCAATAGCTATGAAGCAGAGACTGTGTTCTCCTCAGCTGGAGATTAAACAGCAGCTAGAGGTGATTTTCGAAGCTACACCTACTCTAACATTACTAACAAGAATAGATAATGGAAGTTTTTTTTCTTTTTGTCAACTTATAAAACTATTGAAAAAAAATTATGAGCGATGTGGAGGAATATTAGTGAAATAGAATGGTTACTTTACAAAATGGTAAAATAATTATGGGCTTTTTATAATATGTCGCGATGCGATGGAATCAGGCACTCATCAATTTTGAGCACTAGGAGTTATTTATATCATCTTGAAACCTGTTTATTTTTCTTGCTTCTGATGAAAAAAATACTCATCTGACTTGAATAGAAGTCGAGAGATATTTATGAATGAAGGAGGTGCGGGGTGTTGAGAGCCCAAAACAAAAAATTCGATAAAAATTGCCAAATGGGTGGAAAATTGTTGGTTTCCTTCAATTTCGTAATTTTGGTGAGCGCCTGATTTCACCACAATGCCACACACATATATAATATTGACTTGATCAAAATATGATAGATATAGAATTTTTCAATATTGATTCAAATGTGAAAGTTTTTCTATTTCTTTTGGAGAAGGAAACATTTGATCTATGATTGGCACGTCATCAGTGTAAACTCTTTCCATGCCAGAGGGGTTTCCAAGGTTGTGCCAGGCTCATGCGTTGCAACATGTATAACAGGCTGAATATTGTATTGGGAGAACCCAGTTGTTGGGCTTATTTTAGGAAGTAAAGTTGACACGTACGTTACATTTAAATGAATACAGTGAAATAAATACAAAAAGATGGTCTCTGAATAGAGATATACCTGACCTGCTACTCAGCCCGATTTAATCTGGAATCCCGATATTTTTCCCCAAATCTCAAGCATACAGATTTTTCCGATTTTGATCGCGTGTATCCCGTGTTTTTTGTGTCGTCTATAGCACTGTATTTTTCTAAAAATTTACTCTGCCTTCTTTTCTGTCGCGGGAAGCTCCCGTTAAACTTTTGTCAGCAGGAACTCAGAGTACTATTTTCCTAAATATTGATGCCGGATTTAGTAGTTGACTCGCCCCTAGTTGCGTAGGATCTTTACTAGCAAGTGTTATTTCAACTTCGGGCCCGTCATCAAAACCCGTCAGTATAACTGTTTCAGTTGTGCATCGGATCACGTGACTTCGGTATGTGAGTTTCACGTGTGAAGGGGAACGCCCATTGACAGGGTCAACTTAAGTTCATACACACTGGTTGAAGCGTCATTCGAGAGTTACCCGTGGGGGGGTAGACACTTGGACTAGGAGTGCTTTATGTGATACTTCAGGATTTTAAAAAATAATGATAAAACACATACACACACACACACACTTACTCACACAGAGAGCATATTCACAGATACATGTATGGACAATCTTGGAAAAGTTTAAAGTCAGCTTGGCAGCGACCTTGGGTGATTTGTCGTTGATCCCGATTTTTTTCACCAAATCCCGATATTTGTCCTCGTGAGATCCTGATTTTTAGATTTCTTAGAGTTAGAGTGGCAGGTCTGTACACTAAATAGGTCTGCTCATGGGGAAAAAATTATCTGTTTTGCATCTGAAGTGGATTGACAATAGATTGTGGATTGGCACGGCGTGGCATAGAATACAAACAGTGTAAAATGGATATTGGCATTGAAAGAGTTAATTTTGATAGATCAGGATATATATACAGTCTAGCATGCACATTGCAAAATCAGCAGGACGTGGAAATCTTTTTGTTTTGTACAAATTTTACGATGTACGAATTTCATGCTATTTCAAGAGAGATAAACAAAGTTGGACAATTGAATCAAAAGTTTACATGACTTAGGTGGAAGAGTTTTTTCATACCAACACTGATAGTACTTGCCTTATAAATCTGTACAGTTTACGATTTCGACATGTAAGTTGCCACTCGAGCAAAAAAATACATCTTTTGTTTGTAATTTATTGACTTGTACAAAACCAGAAGGAGAATTTTAGCTGCTTGTAAGTGCAGAAACAAGGGATTTTACACAAGCGATTAGCGCAGTTGTTATCTAGACTAAAAATGTATATATCAGTATCAGAACCCAAAGTGATTGCAATTGCAGTTTAGTTCTTGTGTTAGTTGAAGAGGTGTTGATACAATGATTGCCACAAAGTAGCCTACTGAAAAGAGTAAGAGGACAGGAAGATTTATAAGAGGAATAACTGAAGGCAGAAGAAACTTATAGTACAACAGTTCAATTAGGAAACTTTTGTTTTAGTTCATTCCCGCCATTCAGTATTGCTTTTAAGATATAAAAGACCAATTTTATCTTTACACATATATTTATTATTTTGTTTTCCAGGAAATTCTCTCATGTACTCGAGATGTGAAAGAACATCAAGCTAAAAAGTTTACAGACTGCAAGAATACTTTTCAAGAGCAGAGCAAGCAGTGCCTTTCATTGTGTAAATCAGGACAAAAAAATGTCAAAGACATTGAAAAGTAGTAAGTGACAAAAGGGTAGAGGATGGGTTGTAAAGATATGTACTGAAAATACGAGATATATGGCAGCTGTTACTTTTATGAATTAAAAAAAAGGGGTACCTGTTCCCCATTCAAATCTGTTTTGATTGCTTCAATGTAACCTTTTCAAATCTATTTAAATGAAAAAATGCTTTATTCCCATGCCACCCTTTTCTACTTATTTTGAAAAGTACCTTTGAATCTTTTAAAAGGTGGGGGGTTGGCAGGTACTCTTATGTGGTTTGCTTCTTCTTTCCTTTCAAACATTTAGTGTCTTATCTCTCCTTCTTTTTTTACGTTTATTACTCTTGTAGCACTTTTAACTCATTCGCTACGTATTATTTTCGGCTTGTGGACGAATTCTTTTCGGGAGGGCGAAATGAGATGATGACTAGTGTGCAGTTCACAGGTCTTTGGGGCCATAAATTCAAATAAATATCAACATATTATATACCAACATTTTCAGTATGGTTTGTAGAGTACACCTGCATTATTTATTTGCGTATTTTTCAACTTTGGTTCCTGTAAGAGGCGATTATGCAACACAATTGTGATTGGATGCGGATAAAATTGGAAAATAAAAAATTTATAATCTCAGGTGAAACAAAAAAAACATGTTTGCACCTAGTCAAATGATACCTCAAAATAACCATAACTGTATATAGAACAGGAAAATATTGAAAAATGTGCAGTTATTTCCATACATTCCATAATATTTGTACATTTGGATCATAACATCTGATATTGAAAAAAAAAAAATTTTTTAAATAATTTTGAAAAAAGGATCACAAACAGAAAAAAATATGTGTAACTTATATGGAATTATTCAGAATTGCACTTGGAATAAACCTATACATGTCTTGAGTGGTACTTTTTGATTAATTTCACCCAAAAGTAGTGATTTTGGGGAGAAAAACATATTTTGACTATTTAGATCTAGGCCTAGATCTAGCACTCAAAAATATTGATTTCTCAATTACAGTGCACTGGCAATTTGCGTCCAATAGTATCAATATTATAAAGAAGAGTCCTACACTTCTTTAGTGAGCAAAATAATTATACATTTTGTTGTGTAAAAGTACTAAGACTGGTGTCTGGGCTATAATTTGGGCTTCGCGATAAAACAAAGTCGAAAAAACTACGAAATCATGTTTCAAAACTGAATCAAAACTTCCGATTTTCGGTGGAAACGCTTGACCCGGAAGTCAACATTATATTATGAACTTTATTTTAACATGGATAAGTGGATTGGAATAGAAACCAAGCTAAAATTGAACGTCGGTTCTCGAGCCGCCGGGGGCGGCTTAACGTACTGACGGCACTTGAGCCGCGCCGCCCCCCACAGCTCGGCGTAGCAAATGAGTTAATCTTCAGCACTTATACTGTCCCGGTAGAATTATGCAAATTTAGATGGCCAAATTATGCCCCAAAAATGCAAAGTTACCGTAACACCATTCGCGACATGTTTTGCACTTTTTCAACTCAAATTTTCATGATTTTCATCTTTATGTACTGAAAAATTGAAAACAGAACATATCAGTATCAGTAATTCATTGTGTATTTGTAAAGAAAGCAATACACATCAGTCAGAAAAAAGAACAACCAAAAAATATAATCTCTGTAACTTTCAGCTGTAGATCTAGATTCCCCCCCCCCCCCCCCTCCAGGCCTCAACAAACACACACTCGCTAGTGTTACTTAGTCTTTTATATTTTTGTAATAACTTTCTTTTCCAATCTTTTTTTGTTCACAGTGTCAAGTCAGAGTTTAACCAATTTCGCTTAGATTTAAATGAATCAAATGCCGAAATAAGGACTGCTGTCTTCGAGGAATTATGTTCATATATTAAGAACCTTCTTGATGGCTTGCAGAAAAGCATGCTTCTCAAGACAGAAGCAATATTGAGCAGTTCAAATGAGAAAATGGGATCTACTCTCATAGAAAAACTTAAGGATGCTCAACATAGTCTTATCAAGTAAGTCAGTCCCCTTTTTTATTTGTGAATTTGTGACTGCTGGTTCTAAACCAGTTGGATTTATTTCCTTCAGTAATATAGTCGAAACTACTTTGATGGCCATCTATTAAATGTGTGAGAGCTGTAACCTGTACAAACAGCCATTATCATTTCCCCTGCCCTCCTTTGCTTTTTTTTTTTCATATAATTGAACTAGTAGATTGCCAGTGGCCGTCTTAGACGATTTTGACTGTAGCCTCTTTTGATGCCTGATACAGCAACCTCCAAATAGAGAAACTTGTTATCTCAGAGCTCTTACTAGGTGGTCCATTATGGTTGCCATGGTGGCAGTGGCCTCTATTTTTAAATATATGTATGATTTTTCAAGTTGCTCCAAACTGTGAATACAGTAGTCTCCACCTAAGATCCCTCCGCTTACGATCCCGGTTTGCCTAAGATCTTGCTGATTTCAGAAAGTAGAATTTTTACTATACAAAAGTCACCCCTAAGATCCCGCTCTGATTCACTCCGAAGGTCTACATTCAGCTTAGATCCTGCATTTTAGATAATAATCTACTGAACAAAAACCTGGGCGGACACAGCCAATCAACCAAGAGTGAAAAGTTGAGATCATTGAACTGCCCGTCGCGTATACGAAGATTAGCCACTCTCGTGAATTTGACCACATAAGCGTTGTAAAACTTTATGAAACAGAACAATGTTTGCCCCAGACGAGATGTTGTTGTTGTTAGCGATCCAGCCCCAGACGAGATAACAACGAGGTGTGAACTGACCGACGCGTTTTTGTACCCTAAACATCACACTTGCATCTGAGCTCTCCACCTAAACTAACATCACTCGCTCGGTGGGTAGGGCCTAAACGTTCACTCCAGGCGGAGTCACGGTTAACTGTGAATTCTTCCCTAACTATTGCAGCAGTAAATTTGTGAGACAGACTAAATTTTGATTGGTGTGGTCACAACATAATTGTACTTAACGACGAAGGTGGGGGAACTCGGATAGAGGGAAAGCTATAAACTTTGGACAGATAAGGGGGGGTGGAGGGGCAACTGGATAAGTGTAGATATTGAGACTAATGATAGGGGAATACTCCAAAGGGTATAATACCAAAGGGTAGAATACCAAGGCAATGAGATTACTGTATCCCTTCCTCCCTTTGCACAGATTCATGTAAACGCATGCGCTCCATACACACTCTGAATAGCTCTCCCGAGCACCGTGCGTTCAGTCAGAGACAACTGTTAAGTGTAAATGGTATGCCTCATGCCACTGTGATTGGTCATCAAGGTTGACCACTCTTTACTCGCCAGAATATGTCATCCAGGGGTCACATCAGTTCATTTTAGAGTGGAGGGAGACCATTTTACCTGTTGTGGGCCTTAACATGGGTTACTGTAGATTCTTCCCTTGGTCCGTTGGCTAAGATCCCGTTCGCGTAGGATCTCACATTTTCCGTGCTCCAGAGCACTGGGATCTTAGGCGGAGACTACTGTACTTTTTCTACATGTACCTAATATATATACAGAGAGAGTCCAGGCAATAGCAAAAGCTGACTACGACCAATTCCTATGACTACCTTTCCTTTCTGCTTATCACACCTTCTCTTCTTACAATAACTTCCCCTGGGTAACAAACCTTTCAGATTTAATTTTCTGTTTCTACTCTGCAAAACTGGTGTAAATTTCAGCATGTGTTATTTCAAGCTTTCACAACTTGGCTTTTGATCTTTTTTAGGTGGATTTTCAATTTGGAATAATTTTTAAACACCAATAACACAAATGAAGTTAATAACATTATCTTTTTTTTAGCACAATTGGAAAGTATTGATTTAATTACTTTCAGCGGAGAAAATTACGCAGCTATGTTTACTTAGAGGCATACTTAATACAGCAGGGAAAAAGCCCCCCCTCCCACCACCCCTCGGATCACAAGTGCTTTTTGAAATTATCTTTCAGTCTTTTAATAAACAGCTTAGGCAAGGAAAGTAATGGTCTAAGTCTAACAAGTTTGAGTCAATGAAAACGTTCCTACAATTAAAGTGGAATTTGTAAAACATGTTTTCCTCATTTTGCATGAAAGGAATATTTTTCCTTCTTTGCAAGGTTGGACAACTCAATATTACCTGTCCCCACTTCATGTACATGTTGTCTACTCTATTTTGCCACAGCAGCAACCTCCCCAAAGAAGTTTGTCACTTCCAGGGTTGTGGTAGATGGTCTTTTCATGGTGGCAGTGGCTTCCATACCCAGTTGGGCTTTGTCCAATAGTAAAGTTGAAAAAAGACAACCCATTGTGTGCCCCTGGAAAAGAAGTGATGATAGGATAGCAACTTTTTTCAAAAGTTAATGTGTACCACATGTATTACATTTGTCTCTGTTCTCTGGCTGCAACACATTGATAGGGTGGCTCATAGTAGCACATGCTCCTGCTTTCTAAGGTTAAATTTATTGTGTAACAAATCTCCCTTTGATGTTAGATGCTTGGTTGTTCTCATGTCTTAGCTATTTTTATGATAGTTGTAAAATGCATTATAGTACTTGCTCTAGAGTGTGGCTATGTTCAAGATAAATGCAGTTAATATTTTACTATATTTTTATTATCTAATCTTGATATAGTAGCTATTATGTAGTCATTCATAAGCCTCCTTGGTTGTGTGATGATACAAGGGGATTTGCATTTTTCCCTTGCGGCTCACAACTTCCTAACTGTGAGTATCTCACTCCATGTCAGGAGAGAAAACAAGTAATTGTGAAATCATTTTTCTTGCGTCTCTTGTCCAAACTCTTGGTCTGCAAGGTATTAGGTATCAATCGAGCTGGAACATTTTTTTCTATCAGATTTGCTTTTGGAAAAGTTGATAAGAAAGGTTATCTGACTTAGGCTATGATTTGTTTTAGCAACGTTTAATATTTTTCGACAGTAAAGCAAGTCCAAGATATTTTTTGAAAATAATGGTGAAAATGCACCTTTTTCTTTTCCTTCCTAGGGACACATTTGAAACAGTGGCTGTGAGGCTTGAGAAACTGTTAACTCATCATTCAGAGATGAGACATCAACAGTTAACTGCTATCAAGGGAACCCTAGCTGAGGGTTTGTCAGAACTAAGACAATCTTCAAAACTGTGGGCATCTCACTCCATGTTGGGAGAGAAAAAGTAGTTGTGAAATCGTTTATCTTGTGTCTCTTGTCCAAAGTCTTTTCTGTTGTCCATGTTTTGAGAAGGTTATGATGACTATTATCATATTATCAAAAGTGAAGTTAATCGAGTCCCCTTTGACACTCAAATTTCTCTTGAAATATTTTCAGCATTAACCTCATGATGTGACCTGGAACTAATCTAATCAATTTTAAACAATCGAGTAGGTAGTAAATAAATAAACACTTTAAACAGAGAGTTTAGTTGTTTATGGAGAGTGCCTCTCAGACTGCTCACTTGAGAGGGGGAGGGGGGGGGGGTAAGCAGTGTTGCAAACTGCAGTGTCATGAAGCATTTGGTTTTAAGTTTAATTAATTCTGACATCACCAAGATAAAAGTTTGATCTAGAAAAAAAAAATTCAGAGTTTGAAAGTAAATATAATAAAGTTCCTCCACTGTTCACCAGTTTTGTGATATTTGTAAATATGGTTATTTTTCTCCCGATTCTATTCCATTTCAGAAGGAAGGAATCAGGCCATCATAGTGTCAGTGCAAACACTCAACAACTGGAAAGTGAAGAGCACCTTACTCAACATAATTCTTTTCATGAAAGGAGGCAGGGCAATGTTCTTGAACCAAACTTCCGAGTTCCACCTTCCACACTCTCTGATCGACATAATAATTTTTCAAGCAAAAGTCTTTCAACCCCCTCATTCTGCAAAAATTTTCCCGTACCTGTTACTGGAAGGTACCTGCTTAGGTCGGGCAATTCAGATGAGAAGCAGATTGGTAGAGATGTACTGACAAATACATCTGCCTCTGGAAGTAATGAATTTTGCAAAACTCTGAACTTTTCTGATAATGCACAAAGTCAACACCCCAGCAAAGTTTATTCAGGACATTTGAATGAAGACAGAATTTCTTTTCTGCCAAATGACAGTCGTATCATGCAAAACAAACCTACTATTGACAGTGTAATGCAGACTGGAACTGTATCATATATTTCTCCCTTTGGAAGGTTTAGCAGTCATAATGTCGGGGATTCAAGGCCTTCACCCATTGCAGCTGTGTTACCCCTAAGGCAAGTAAATGCTACCCATCTCCAATCATGTGAACAGAGATTTGAAACTGGAAATGCTAAGTCTGCAACACCTTCAACCTCATATAGGAATAACAAAGGCAAGAAAAGGAAAAGAAGCTATCCTCATGAGAAAAAAAGTGAAGATCCAACTCATAAAATGAACACAATACCAGCAAAATCTTTGTTTTCTCCACAAGATATTATAATGGACTCAAATGGGAGGAAAGATATTTCCCAGAGAGTAGCTTTACCTACATATTTGCAAAATAAAACAGAAACATGTCTCCAAGGACGTGTATTAGGAAAAAAGAACAAGAGTCAAATCAAATGTTACAATGGACACATAAATGACGTCTCTCAACAAGTCACCCTGGCCTCCTTCCTAAATGAAAGGTGAGCTATTATGGCAGAATTTGCATGATTGCTTATTTGTAGATAGGAATAAGGAAGGGGCTTAGTCTTTTTTTTAAAATGGGTTCTAAGGGGAAAGTTAAAGAAATGGGCTGGGGATGGAGTAAGTGTTTTTCTCAAATCTTTTGATTTTGAAAATTCTCTCGAGATCTTAATTTATTCACTTGAAATTTAACAAAAGTCCCCGAAAGTTTATTGTATCATTGAACTGTACAAAAGATTCCTTCCTTCTTTTCTTTAATATGGCACAGTGTCTGGTAATCAGCTTGTTCTTTTATTTTCTGTGCTATTATTGTCAGGATAAAATATGGTAATTATTATGATTGCTTCTGCCATGCAGTCCCGGCATTGAGAAGAATAGTACCGACGTGGTTTTAGCGTGTCGTACGAGGCAATTACATGGCGAAACAGGAAGTGACTCCCGAAACAGAGTCATCCTCCCTCCAGGTTGGGGGTTGAATTATGAGACTAACAACCTTTCTCGTAAAAAGAACCTGTTACAGAAACACATACAAGCAAAAACCATTATCTCTGCTCGACTGATCGTGGATCTTCTCCAAATGGAGAGTTTATGACGCAAGGCAGTGAAAGCTGAAAGGAAGCTGCTGAGCAGAAGCCTCCACCATCATCCAAGTCCAGGTCTCTTCGGATTGGCTCATGGAACATTAGGACCCTTTATGAGGCTGGAAAAACTGCACAGGTCCTCCAAGAGCTGCATCGATACCAACTACACCTACTGGGAATCAGCGAGACCCACTTGAACCAGTATGGACAGAAGCCAATGAAAGAGGGGAAGCTTTTCATTTACTCAGGAAATGACAGTGATGGACCACACAGGGAAGGAGTAGGGATGATCATATCCAAAACAGCTCAAAAGACATTCAGGGGCTGGGAAGTGCACAGTCCAAGGATCATTATGGCCTCTTTTGGAACTAAGAAAGAAATCAAGGTGAGAGAGGGTAGGATGAAGGTCATAAACATGAACATCATACAAGTGTGTACAACCAATGATGCAGAAGAGAAGAATAAAGATGACTTCTACAACCACCTGCAGAGTGTGATCCACAAACTTCCACCAAAGCGAACCGGGAGGTAAAGAATTCCATCAAGAAGGACAAGAATATCTACTTGAATGGCCTGACCGTAAAGGCAGAGAAAGCAGCAACAGACAGACACTTGCAGATTGTACACCAGACAACAAATTCTCTTTCAGGTAGGTTCAGCAAGCCCATTCTACTAGTGAAAGACAAAGAAGGAAAGACTATCTTCAACCCAGAGGGGCAACTTAATCGATGGAGAGAACACTTTGATCAACTCTTGAACAGACCACCTCCAGGAAACCAACCAGGAATTCTTCCAGCCAGAAATGACCTCCCAATAGTTACGGAACCACCTTAAAGAGAGGAAACTGCAGCAGCTATAACATCACTGAAGTCCCACAAGGCAACTGATCCCGACCATATAGATCTACTACTGGAAGCCCTAAAGGCAGATAAAGATGTTAGTGGAAATTCTCTATGCTCTATTTGAAAAGGTTTGGCAAAAGGAGGAAAATCCATCAGACTGGAAAGAAGGCCACCTAATCAAGCTGCCAAAGAAGGGAGACCTCAGCAATTGTAACAACTACAGAGGCATTACACTCCTGTTCATACCTGGGAAAGTCTTTAACAGGATACTTCTGGAGAAAATCAAGCAGGCAACAGACGAGCAGCTCCGAGGAAACCAGGTAGGATTCCGCAAAAAAACTATCATTGTTGAGCAATTGCTTGAATGGAATTCACCACTCGTGGTCAACTTCATAGATTATAAAAAAGCATTTGAAAACATGGACAGGGAAACTCAAGCTCGTGAAGGCCACATATGATGGAACAAACTGCCAAGTCTTCCACGAAGGACAACTCTCAGAACCATTTCTCTTCATACTGGCAATTGACTGGGTCATGAAAGAAGCCACTAGAGGCAAGTGTAATGGAATACAGTGGATCCCTTGGCAGCAGCTGGATGACTTGGACTTCGCCGATGACCTTGCACTGCTCTCTCACACATATGCTCAGATGCTAGAAAAGACCAAGGAACTCACCAGCCTATCAAGGAGTGCTGGCTTACGTATACATCTAGGCAAGTCAAAAGTAGTGAAGCTAGGAAAAGTTTCAAGCCCTGCTGTGACAGTGGAAGACACTCCCCAAGAAGAAGTGAACTTCTTTTCCTACCTTGGAAGTGTCATCGATGGTAAAGGTGGAACCGAGGCAGATGTTAAAGCAAGAACCTCCAAGGCAAGGTCAGCATTCAATTATTTATCAAAAGTCTGAAAGCAAGCAACATCTCACTGCGCATCAAGATTCGATTCTTTAACTCCAAAGTCAGATCTGTGCTGTGCTCCTCTACGGCTGTGAAACTTAGAAGACAACAAAGACAGTACTGAATAAAGTCCAGACTTTCATCAACAGATGTATGAGGAGTATTCTAAGAATTAAGTGGCAGGATAAAATAAGAAATGAAGAGCTGTGGGAAAGGACAAGACAAAAGGATATAGAAGTAGAAATAGGACTAAGAAAGTGGCGATGGATGGGACACACCTTAAGAAAGCCCAGCGGAAACATCACAAGACAGTCACTGCAGTGGAACCCACAAGGAGCATGAGGCAGGGGTTGGCCACAGGAAACATTGAGGAGATGCGTGAAAGGCCCAGGACAGAGATAAATGGAAGGAGCTTGTATGTGGCCTATACCCTGCCAAGGGTGAAAGGCATTGATGATGATGATGATTGCTCAACATGCTATGAATTACAATTTGATATAAACATGGAGAGGAGATATTTGATTTTTTTTTTTTACCAACACGGGCCATGATATATTTCAAAAGGCAATTTGAACCAGTCATATTTTGTTCTTGTAAAATGTAAATAAAGGAAAGGCATACCCATGGTGTAGATTAGGATAGGGCTCCTCTTTGAGCAATATGCAAAAGTACATGTATTAATTGTTTTCCTTGCGTTCTTTTTTCTCAGGAATAGTGAAAACAGAAACTGTGAGGTAATGAATATATTTCATGTCAATTGCATTTTATTATCTTTCCATAGTTTTTGTTCAAAAGAAAATAAGTGGGATGTCCTTTATTCAGTGAACTGTAAACGGTACCTTGTACTTTGCTTTATAATGTGTTCCTGATAAATTAGTAGGCTAATACTATAAAAATTATGCCTGAAAAGGTGATAAATTAGATAAATATCCTATTAACATAATAGTAAAAGCTGTTTCAGTGGGGAAGTTAGTTTTCTTTTCATTTTTCATAGGTAGAAGTAAGTTCTCATTACACTGCATCTTCATGGAAAGTCCTATCAAATTTGTAGAACCCAGAAAAAATAGCTCATGTAATTAAAATGTGTACATGCATGCATTTTTTCCCTCAAAAACAGGCCTTCAGTGAGAAATCCTCTCCCAACCTGTCTTTTGAAGAAATTATCATCCATAGAAAAGTGGGCCGCCCAGCAAGGAAATTTTCTATGACACAAAGTATGTATTATGTACGATGCACTTACATTCTTTTTTTCTTTGAGTCTTGATTTGGGCTTTATTTTGTGGCTCAAAATCCATGTAAGATTGAATACAGTAGTCTCCACCTAAACGCACACCATACAAAGGCTCAAACCCATTCTTTCGTCATATGACGAGTTTTTATATAATTAAGACATATAAAGGCATAGTCGCTTCTTCTACTTCTAAATGCACGCTTCAATCTGCGAAACAAGCTTGACAAGGAGAAATTTTCGCTGCAGCCTACACAGCTTGCATAAGACAAGCCTAGACAACCGGATACCTGTATTTGGTGAGACTGACCCTAACGCAGAACAAAGAGAGTGATGGACAGAGTTTTCACGCCCAACTTTCCATGGACACATAGGTCTAGGACTGGTCAGGTGATATGTTGAGGAGGGGAGGGGGAGCTGAAATGTTTTCTCATTGGTCACTCGAAATGTGTCTTTGAGAGAAGATTTCTGACTGGTGTTTGAGTGATGGTATACATAATGTTTAGTTAGACCTGTGATGCGCAACAAGCGTGAATGCTGTAAAACACTAGATAGCCTTTTCCTTCTATAACTATCCCCAACGGTTTCCTCTTACCCGTTCCTGACATTTTATAGTGCATATCAGTGCAGTGAGTGAGTTCGTCTTCCCCCCCACCCATTCAACACTTGTATTCATAATTCATAACTGCAGTCAGGGAATCCTTCACAAAATAGTCACGTTTTGTCACACTATCGGCCAAAGTGACCCACCCCCCGGGAGGTCACTACAATATCAAGGAAATGAGATGATTGCATCCCATCCTCCCTTGCAAAGGTTCATGTAAACGCATGTTCTGTATAAACACACATTAAGGAGTTCTCCCAGGTGCCGTACGTTTAGGCGGAGAATACTATAATATTATTTATACATTGTATACTCTTTAGTATGCTGGGTTTTTTTAATGAACTGTTTAACATTGAACTTTTGTGATGGTACATACTGTCTCCATTTCATAGAGTTATTTTTGAAAAGCCTGTATCAAATTTATGCTTTGAATTTAAAGGCTGAATGTTGTCTACATTAATTAAAGTACCGTACTCACTTTTTATGTCACAAGCTTGAAAGGATGTTGTGTATCATTATTATTATAAAATGCATTTGTTTGCGTCATTTTTGGTTAGAAACTTCATGTTGGAGACAAGGAAAGGTAGTTTACAAGGGTTTTAAAAATTTTAGACAACAGGTTTGCAAGTTCTGTTCTTAATCTTAACCAAGGCCAGAAAAACAGTTTGACATTCCACCAGCAGAGATTGATCTGGGGGTGAGTGAAGAAAAGCCTAGTCTAGAGGAGATCAAGGAGGCGATAAGACACCAGAAAGCAGGCAAGGCAGCCGGCCCAGATGGAATTCCCCCAGAAGTTCTCAAGGCGGATATCAACACTGCGGCAGGGATTCTTCATGGAATTATTGGCAAGATATGGGACAGCGAAGAACTTCCACAGGAGTGGAGAGAGAGGGATTGCTTGTGAAACTACCCAAGAAAGGAGACCTGCATGAGTGTAAAAACTACAGAGGAATCATGCTCCTGTCCATTCCTGGGAAGATTTTAAGTCATACCATACTGGAAAGACTGAAGGAAGCCATGTATGCAAAATTAAGAGAGGAGCAGGCAGGATTTCGTAAAAAGAGATCATGTACAGTTCAGATTGCAACTTTGAGGATAATAGTGGAGCAGTTTACAGAGTGGAACTCTTCCCTGTACGTTAACTTTGTTGACTACGAGAAAGCTTTTTACAGCCTAGATTGGGACTCAATATGGAAGCTCATGCGCCACTACAGAATACCTGACAAGTTCATGAGATTGATCAAGAAGATGTACGAGGGAATGAGTTGCAGTGTCTTGCTTGGAGGGCAGCGGACGAATACAGGAGTGAGAGAGGGATGCCTGCTATCGCCTTTTCTCTTTTTATTAGCAGTGGATTGGACAATGAGACAGACAACATCAGGACAACGCAGTGGCATACAGTGGACCCTTTCCAGTCAGTTGTAAGACTTGGAGTTTGCCGATGACTTGGCACTTCTTTCTCACAGTCGAGCCCAGATGCAACAGAAAACAGATTGCCTCAGGACCTTCTCCTGTAGTGTTGGACTCCATATTCACACGGATAAAACGAAAGTTCTACGAATGAATGCAGCCGACGTTCCTATCACACTGCAAGGGGCACCATTGGCGGATGTTGAATCCTTCACCTACCTAGGAAGTGTCATCAACAAGGCAGGGGGAACAGACGAAGACATCAAGGTCAGAATCCCAAAGGCAAGAGCAGCATTCATCATTCTCAGGAATATATGGATGTCTAAAGAACTGGGATTGAACACCAAGCTGAGGATCTTCAAAACAAACGTGAAGACTGTTCTACTGTATGGTTCAGAGACATGGAGGCTCACAGCATCAGCATTAAGGAAACTGCAGAGCTTCGTAAATAGATGCCTACGAAGGATAGTGGGGATCAAGTGGTACGATCGAGTCACTAATGCTCAACTGTGGGAAAGAACAAGCCAAAGTCCAGTAAAGGAAGACATACAGGTGAAGAAATGGAAATGGATTGGACACACCCTGAGGAGACCCCCGACAAGCATCATCAGGCAGGCTTTAACGTGGAACCCACAAGGATAACGTAAGAAGGGAAATCCAAAGATGACATGGAGGCGAGCGGTACAAGCGGAAATTGAAAAAGCAGGGACATCATGGAAACAGATAGAAAAGGATGCTCAGGACAGGCTTCGCTGGAGTAATGCTGTTGATGGCCTGTGCTCCACTGGGAGTTAAAAAGGGCAAGAGATAGAGGCCTTGCATGCCTGAATAGGCATGCCTGACTTGTAATTGTAACAAAAGAACCTACAGAAATCTGAATATAATTTAAATATAAAGTAGAAGCTTATGAGAGGGAACTTACAGTACTGTTTGTACAGGCCTATTGCTTCCCGTCAGGGTCATTACTGATCTTCCAAATAAACTGTTGTTCATTCTATGGCTTAATGACAATTACCTTTGATCATAGGGGAGCCCAGATGTGTTAAACTGCAAATCAGATGCACCGCTTCTCAAGCTAAAAGAATATACATGGATAATGGTGGGTTTTTTTGTAATTAAAAGATATGTTTTCATCATCACTGTCTATCACTATTATGGAAAAATCATGTATTATTCATGATAATAGTTAATGAGAATTTGCATAATTCTCCTTTTCATGCAGGTCCAGGGTTCCCACTAAAGAGAGGCAACACTCACAAGTACAGCCCAGCACCTACTTTGCTGTCACTTCTTAGTAAAGAAAATGGATAAATTTTAAAGAGGAATTTTTTAAAAACTTTTGCTTTGCACCAATACCATTGTCAAAATTGATTACACACAGGCAGTATTGCATACAGACGTAAGTCATTTTTGGCGGCCTTTGAGATACGTCTGTATGCAATACTGCCCGCGAACACTGAGTTTTATTTACCAAGTTGTTTGAGCACTGTATTTGAACAGAGTCAATCTCATTGATTTCAAAAAGTTTATCATCAGTAAGTCTACTTCCTCCAATACTAACTAACTGAATGACCAAGCTAAACTTGGATCTTACACCACTGTTCCCTGTACAGCAGAACATGGCGAGTCGGCTCTGTACTGTGGTGTGTACCCGCGTGCGGGGTCACATGCTTTCCGAATCTCGCGGAGGGATTGATGCAAAATAATTCCAAGTTAATTACTTTATTGTAATAAAAAATCAACTGATCTTTTAATTAATACATTTTTTTAGCCAGTATTTTACATATATTTCGTGTTAAAAATTATCTTTGAAAATTTTGACGGTATTTTTAAAGGCTTTCTACTTAAACGCCAAAGGCTATAAATATACTACTGGAAAGCCCGTTTAAAGCTCTACAGTTCTCCGCCAATGAAAAGATGGTATTTAATCATCCCTCGCTCCGCGAAGCATTTGAATGCACTCGTGTCAATTTTAGAACCGGCCGACCAAGCATTCCGACCGCGAGGGGCTTCGCTTTCCTCGGTGATTCTCCAGCTCCTGATAATCGGACATATAAACAACCTACACCATTGTAACGAGGAAAAGCTGAACTTTTACAAGGTGTACAGCATTTTGTGTTTTATAGCGAAAGAGCAAAGAAACAGCGATCGGAATTACCCTGATTTCACCAATACCACGCGGTCGGAAGGCCGTGAGGCCGTGTTTACGCTACCTACTAAAAGTAAATGACCCGCTGTAGCCATGTTCTACTGTGTTATTTTTATAATGTAATATGGACCTCTGGTTACAGAGTTAAAGAGTGGTTGCCAGTATGACTGACAGTTGTTTGTGTGAGATGCATCTATATAGCTACAGTCGAACCTGCCTTAACGGAAACCTGTCTTAACGGAATCTCCCCGCTCCCCCCTTGATATATTCCTCTTTAATTACCTGTATAAAATGGAAACGGAAAGAAAAATCTGCTCCCTTCCGAGGGTTTCACCTGTCTAAGATGGAAAATGCTTTGCCCGCTCAGCCCTGATTTGAAACAAAACTTGCAAGTTTAGTTCCGCCGGCTATAAACTTAACGCATTGGCCATGCCGTGGGCGAGGAAGGGGAGTAGGGATGCAATTAGGGGGTAGATGTTACCCCATCATGTGAGCCCTGAGCGATGCTAATGGTCAATGTAGTGTGAGTGTGAAATCTCACGACTGCCCGTGAGAGTGCTCGAGTAGCGAGCTACTACGAAAACTTTCCTGGGTAGCCAGAAGTCAGAGGTGTGAAATTAGATTAACCAATGCCTGCCGCCCTGATCGTACGCCAGCTGAGAAAAGAGTTCCTCGAATCGTTGTTACAAAGATGGCAGTGAGGCGTGGCACTGATGGGTGGGGCTAAGGGTGGAAGCAAAGGAGATGTTCAAACATTTTTGTTTTTAATAGGTCAAACAGTGGTCTTATGAAAAGCAAGCACTGGTGGTAATTGGATAAGTAAAACTGACGCATGTCAATATCAGACAGGATAGCAGTTGAGAGGTGTGAAGTTTTGACCACTGCTTGCCGATCGGACAAGCGATCCTTGATCCCACCGGCTGGGCTTTTTACCCCCCCCCCCCCTTTAATTCCCCTGTCTAAGACGAAATTTTTTCCCCGCTCCCTTGCGATTCCGTCTTATGCAGGTTCGACTGTATTTATTATATACTCTTTAACATTTTTAAGTTCACACCTCATGTTAGAGGCAATATCTTGATTAATACTTATCAAACCTGTCTGAAAATTTCAGATAAGATAATGCATTCATTTTACAGCAAGGGAAACATGTGGAATGCAAAGTTAAGAATGTTTTTATGTCTTCTATTTTGAACTTATAGTTATAGTAGGCAAGGGTCTAAATGAAAAGAGACAGCTTTACATCTTCACATCGTCGACGCAAGGACGGGATAAATCGAGATATTGTCTATTGAGGGATGATATTCCACTCTTGAAATAAGGCTTGTTCTTACTGAGCAAGAGACCAGGGAAGGTGTGGGCTGGCATGAACGGCACGATGTAAAATGTCTCGCAAGTGCTCAATTGGATTGAGATTTAGTGAATATGTTGATCATGGGTGCAGGAGAGGAATGTTAGTTTTGAGAAATTGATTTGCCTCAGCAGCCTTATGAGTAGGTGCATTTATCAAGCAAGAATATGTGTCCTTGGGCTTGATTTTGAAAAAAAAGTACATTGGGCTCGAGAACGTGGTTGATTTAGCCTTGAGCTGTTATGCTCGCACAAATAGACACAAGCGTAGCGTGGTCTTGCCAACATCACTGTTTCCAGCCCACACCATGACACAACCTCCATCGAAATGATTTGTTTGTCTGAAGCAAGTTGAGATGTAACCTTTAGTTGGGTATTCTGTAGACTCTGGCCTGTACATCATGCCGTTCCAGTTGAAATTGGGACTCATCTGAAAACATGTATGTGAAATCTCTGCTGGATGTGATGGGGCTGCGGTTTTATGCAACAAGCTAGGACCTAACACGAAGGTTTCCCTCTCTCAAACAATGAAGAGCAATCATGACAAAGAATTGGAATGTCATTTCGAAGTCTTTTTGACTCATCCTTGGTCTTTGTTTGCCGGTTGAAATTAATATATCAAGCGTTGCATTAGGATGAATGCGCCCTCCCTCCGTTTTGTCTTTCTGTGTCCTACTCCCTTGGGCCTGTCCTTTTGGGAGCCTATCGCTGCCATGTGATCCAATGTGGCATACACAGTGTGTCTGTTCACGTTGAACCTTCTCACGACTAATGAAAGTGGAGTGCCCACCTGAAGCATTTGAATGGTGTGATTTCTTTCTGATACCTTCAGCCGGAGCATCGGGAATAGATGAAGAGAAGGACAAATTTGGAAGGAGTCCAATTTTGCCTGTGTTGTTTGTTTGTTTTTCAAAGTTGCCCACTCATTTTCACAGTATTTGACAAAATATCAAAGCCCCATGAATGACATTGTCAGACATGTGCAAAAATTTCAAAGTAATTGGATGTAGTTTTCGAGCGACACAAATGTGTGAAGTTAAAAATATGAAAGAGTATATCATACTCAATTCATTTTATTTTTTGTACAGCCCAATTTCAGTTAGCCTATTGCATCTCTCTAGTTTAATGATAGCTTTAAAGTTGGATACATTACGCCACAAAAAGGCACGCTCTGATCAAATACAGTGGAATCCACTTATAACGAGTCCTGAAACAACGAGAAGTCTGTTATTAAGACACTATTCTAAAACCCCTTTTTTTTCCCCTTCTTTATCTTTGTAAATAAAATACTGCTATAGCGCAATCGGACAAACACGGGAGTCGGTTATACTGTAATATAGCTGCTGCTGTGCACAGCGCATAGGCTATTTATTAATGTAAAACCTCGCCAGTTGAGAAACTTGTTGGTGATCTAGCGAAACAAAGAATGGGAGAGCCCTCGAGTGCCAACAATGAAGGCCTGATTGAATGAGTGGGGAGAGTGGCATGCACAGACAAGCAGAACGCATCGTGTGATAGGCCAGCCTAGTCTAGATTATCTAGGTCTACCACGCCTTTCACTTCACCGATGCGGGGATGGAAAGGTCATCATAGTGCTGTACTGTGATGGACGGAGTGAATGTGTGACGTAGGCGGGGTGTGGTATGTTTCCTTTGTGCGCAAGCAGACGGAACGCACCACAGGGTGTGGTGGGGTGGGGGACAACACAGCGGGCGAGTTAGCCTAGAGAACTTTCTTTCTGATCGCCAACGCCGAGCTGTCAATATTGCTAGCGTTTGAGAAAGAAACCTGATTCGACTTTTGATCAAGTAAGACTTAAAGGTCATGTTGAACCAAATCATCCTCAGGGGAGATTACAAAAAGAAATAAACCGATAACCAGACTCATAGATTAGGCCTACTTTACTATTTTCCTTGAATTTATTAATGGGTCCCTTATAACGAGAATCTTGCTATAACGGACATTTGACACCGGTCCCCTCCCTCTCGTTATAACAGGATTCCACTGTTCAAGCTTTGGTCATATGACTTGTTTTGGGGAAACGTCTTTTGATTGGTCACTGGAAATGCTTCTCTTTGAGGTTTCTCACTGGTGCATGTCGTCAATGTGTGAATGCTGTAGACTGTAGAACACTAGTAAGGCTTATACAGGATTATGATTTAGTCAAGTGATCTGCTGCGTTTGAAGTACTTTTAACTTACTTGTTCATCAAATCACTAGAGAAAAGTCTCTCAGAATTTCTGATGTCATCCTAGCATTTGCAAAGTTGCAATGGCAATGGATGACAAGTAGTTCAAGTTGAGACTGATGGCTAGATCTACTCTATTCCCGACAGTGCATTCACTGATTCAGTATAGTGAGTAGCTCTTTCTGCTTTTTTCCACCACTGATCTCATTCAATGCCTTTGTAAATTGCAACAGCTATGGGACTCCTTCTTTTATCAATAAAAACAATCTTGTTTCGTTGTATTTTTGGTGAAAGTGACTTCTAAATCCTTAGGGAGGCAACAACAGTAATGTAACTACTTATAAGAGATGCTCGATTCCTTTTCTCCCTCAGCCCAGGTTCATGTTAATCATGCACACTGTGTTAGATCTACTGTTATGCTCGCTTAGGAGCCCTCTTATACAGTAGAAACGTGATATAACAACAGAGATGGTGGGACCACAGAAAATACACCTTATATTATATTATCAGATCCCCGTTAAATCAGAATGCAAGGGAAGTAAGCATTTGTGGACTAATCCAGCTTTGGTTTTATTCCTGAAGAGGAGCTCGAGCAAGGAGCTTTGACACTGGACCCACCAACCGTCCTAACCGCTGTAAGGGAAAATTTGAGGAAGAATAGGGCGGATAGCGGTTCCCACACTCTAGGGAGACTGAAGGAGAAGGGGATCCAAAGAGGAGAGGGGAAACACAGCCATCTGTGCGGACCAGTCCGACGGATCTCCAACCAGATCATGATGGAATCCAAGTAGACAGACTCTGGGATGGATTCTGAAGAGGGGGGGAGAGCAGAGATGGACATGTTCCGACTGCAGTGACCCCAACACAGGGGACAAGTAAGGATAAGTAAAAGGACTACAGCTGTATTTATTCATGGGTAGTTTCTCTTGCCACAAGTACCCTGCGCATGACACATTACCTGTGCGCGTAGCTGGGCTTATGGCTAGATCAAAGTATACAGCACACGGTAGCCCTCTCTCGCTTCACCCGCTGCGTGT